TTTACTTATATTCAAATGTATTATTGCAACAGTTGTATCTTAACAAATTTTCTTGAAATAGGCACTTGTTAAATAAAAGAGTCAATAAGCAAAAAAACACGAATTCAAAAAAATTTTGAACGAAACTAGTGGACACTGTAAATAAATAGGTCTGATTGAAAGCAAAAAGGTCCTAAGTGGATCCATTGAGTGAAATTATTGAGTACATTTTCGGTCAATATTGAACATTGAAGATAATTTTACACATTTTTGATATTTGAATTAAAACTGATAGTTTTACTCATAAAATTTTAGTTGGACTCATACTAATAGAGGAAAATTTTACTCAATCGAGTGTAAACATTATTGATTGAAATTGAGTGAAAATAAGTTCAATTTTTCTTACAGTGTAGGTATAGCAAATATTTTAACTTTTGCAATGTCGAATTTGTTTACGTTAACGTTGAACATTTTTAAAATATACTTTTGAATGTAGGTATTTAAAAATTTCATAAGAATTATCTTTGGACAATGAAAAAATTATACACCACAAATTATTATGCATATTTATTTTATTTAAATAGTTACTGCGTTAGTATGTGACAAAACTAAAGCACATAATAAAGGCGTAAAAGACACCGATTCAACAAAGAACTCGGCCGGATCTATTCCAATATTTTTTTAAATAAAAACAAAAAAATGTGGTAAAATGAAAAATATTTGAACAATATAGGGGTTCCACTTTCTACAACAACTACACAGCTTGATGTAAAATGTAGAATCTACCGTTATTTTGGCTCAATATGGAGAATCACAGTAATATAGTAATTTTTTACAAAACATTTTTACGTATTTTTAGTTTGTTCAAATAAATCGTTCTTCAGGGGTTAATAATTAATCTCCGAATACCCTGTACATAAACCACGTGTATTGCGTTACCGTTCAATCATTGTTACAATGTTATTATTAAGGGATTTTGCAACCAAAAACGTCAAATAAAAATTTGCCGACTGTTCGTGGCGCCTTCGCCATTTTATCGAATTTTTTAGGCCCGACAATATTTGACGATTCTGTTTTTTTTTATTAAAACAAATTACAGTATCGTAGCTACTACAATTAGAATTCCAATTTTCACAAACATTTGTTTTCTGGTATAAAAATGCAGGAGTTTAAAATATAAATGAACATATCCTTGGAATATACGTTTAAAACCCTCAAATCCTCCTAAGTGTATAGCAATGCGTATACACAAGGCAACCGTAAATCTCCTCTAATATTCTTCTAGGTGAGAAATTGTCTGTGCCAACAGAACATCGCAGAGGCGTGTAATACGGAACTACTTCAAGAAAATAACTGGTTCTTTTATTTTGTTGTTTTAAATTACATAGTATTTTTTTCACTATATTTTTGGACTGTACTGCGGTGTTTTGAGATAATTTTTATGGGACTTACCTGCATTTCAGAACAATTTTTTAGTTACTGTTAAAAATTATGTGTATACTTTGCGTTTTTGTTTTATGAGACATTTTTCTACATGTACATTTTACATTCACAGTTAACAGAATTTGTTTTTCTTATTTGTAAATTGAATGAAATTAGTACGTGGCTGGAGTTGCATATTGCGCTTTGATATGTATTAAACACTGCAAAAAAAAATGAGTGAAATTTCACTCACATCACACTCATCAATTCCTGCCCACACCGGATTGAGTGAAATTTTCACTCTGTCAGTATGAGTACTATAGCTATTTTATGAGTGATACTATTAATAGTTTTTAATAGTTTTACCAGTGTTTTAAAACAGAATCGATTAATTTTACTGAAATCCTAGTTTCTGTGACTTCCCAGCGAGTGGTTGTTTCATTTTCACTATTTCACTATTATTGAGTTAATTTTTACTCAGATTTGAGTACAGTGAAAATAATTAGACGCCATATACTTACCTATTTAATTTTTTGTTGATTCATCCTATGATGTATGATGTAACAAGGTCCTGAGTGTATACATTGAGTGAAATTATTGAGTACATTTTTAGTTATTGAAGATAATTTTACAAATTTTTGATATTTGAATTAAAACTGATAGTTTCACTTATAAAATTTTAGTTGTACTCATACTAATATAGGAAAATTTCACTCAATCCAGTGTGAGCATTATTGAGTGAAATTGAGTGAAAATAAGTCAAATTTTTCTTACATTATAGGTACAGCATTTAATAAATGTTTTAACTTTTGCAATTTCAGACTTGTCGGGCAAACTGGCAAGGACTGAGGGAGATAGAGGAGTATCTTTATAATTGTCGTTATACGTAGTGAAACTTATCAGTTTTAGTTTAAATATACTCACAATATTTTGTGAGTGAATTGTGTTTTGATTTACACTCACTGTAACTCCGATTATCAAATCGAAATTGAACACTGTTCCATTTTGAATTGAATCCGCCGTCCGAAAGACGCAGTGGTCCTTCCCGCCAACCCTTTGACGCCCGCCGCTGGTGCCACACATCCTGGCGTAGAGCTCATTACAACGGCGGTGACAACAATATCATATTCTAATGACATGGATCGGCTACTGCGGTGTTAGTGATGGTTTTGTCACCATAGCGACGATTTCCACACAGACAACGAGGCGCAAACCCATTGCTTTTTGTACTGTAAACCCACAAATACATGCCCTGAACCTGAGAGTGTAGCACCGCAAATAATATCCGACGCATTTCGGATTTCGGAGTTATCATCCTCTTTTGTCCTTTTAATGAATATTTACCCGCGCCCCGCTCCGGCCGCCCGTACACAAAGCGATTTAATTGCTGCCAGCAATAGATTTTTATTGAATAAAATCCCCCGTATACAATTAACTTCTATTCTAAAACATCTGCGGAATATTTTTATACGCGATGTCACACGTCGATAAACGCAGTGTCCTTAAAGATCGACCATCCTACTTTCCAGATCTGGCTCCACTAGAAGTGTTTTCCTCTTAGATCAGAAAGCAAATGTATGTCAAGGATTTTTATTTATTTTTTTTTTCTTTGAAAATGATGAAATTTATTTAAACATTAGAAATTGTTTCTTATTGTTTGCGTTACATTTTTCAAGCATAATTGATTGTTTTCCAAAAGAGCGTACGTACTCACCATAACACAATTGAATTGTTTTTGGAAGGTAAACGACTTAGGGACAGGAGAAAGTAAAAAGAATGTAGAACAGTTCGTCGTATACTTTTACTTCAGATTATCTACGAGCGCTTTATGTCAACGGTCTTATCCGGCATCGAGCACAGTGGCAGAAACTTTCTTTTCCCAAAGCAATTAAACCGATGAATTTATGTTGTATCCTGTTGTTTACCTATTTTACTCGCTTTGAGCGGTCCAAGTCCTAGTTTTTACTCATCTTTCGATCGGCGTTTTGCGAAACTACGCTGTTTGCGCAACTGTACCTCGTATAGATACACTGTAAAAAAAATCACTCTTTTTCACTCAAATTTACTCAATTTCTGTCCACACCCGATTGAGTGAAATATTCACTCGATTGGTATGAGTACAACTCAAATTATATGAGTGAAACTATTGCAAAGTGAGCTAATTTTACTCAAATCTGAGTTTCTGTTATCAAGTATGTGATTTTTTACCCTGTTCCGAGTATGTAAAACTAATTAAGAGTTGACTTTCTCTAAATTTAACTATTATTGAGTAATTTTTTACCCAAAGTTGGTTTATATTCTCTCTAAATTTTAATTTAAATGTCATTCCACTGTAAAGAAATCGGTGTGAGTGAAAGCAATAAAGGTACGGAGTGAATCTATTGAGTGAAATTATTGAGTACATTTTCACTCAATATTGAGCATTTTGTTCATTTTTGCTTTCACTCACCGATTTTTTGAAAGGAAATATGCTTCTGGTTTTATAATCGATGTGCTCACCCGTGTTTCAGTGTCAAATTCAATATCGGGAACAGTCAACAAAAAAAATTACCACCCCCTCCCAGTTTTAAAGGCAGATACCCAAAGGGCGCTCTATCGATATTTCAGGTTTACACAGAGGGTGTCGATGCACAGGGCCAGATCGTAATAGACAATAGAGGGGTTGTAATTGAAAATATTGCGCCGGATTGTATTCGGCTCTCACTGATTTAAATTGCTATACCCTTGATTTTATATTAAACTGTATTCCGATGTGGCGTTTCACGGGGATGAATTAGAGATGCGAAATTAACTGACAGGGCTCGTAAATGTTCGAAAATAATTATTCTTGTGTTGATTGTGGATTTAATGTAAAAAAATAAATATATTTTTTTTATAACTCGTCTCAAAATACCTAAAATTTCGTTGGTAAGTGTACCTTTTTGACTTCCTATCTACAAAAAAATGGCGAAGACCATAGTTTTAGGAAATAGTGTTGTAATCTCTGTAAGAAATAGATAAAAGAAAAACTAAATGAAATATATACAGATTCCATGGCAATCTTGACTTATCTATTGGGGAGGTAAGTGAAAATAAACCAAGAACCAGTATACTGGTACTGGAAAGAGAGGTGAAAAGGTAGAATATCGTGTAAATACTTTTATCATTTTTTTGTAGATAGAAAAGTAAAAAAGAAAGAAAGTATCGGAAAGATGTTCGAAAGGTCCGTAAAAATTAATAGACTTGGTGAAATGTAAATAAATATGTTGTCTGTGCAGTTTAATTTAATTTTATGAAGAGTATGCAGAAAACTAGCGGTATAATCAGAAACGTAAACCGTCATTAGTTTCAGCTTTGTACGTTGGTAATGAGCGAAAAAGGATTGTAAGAGTAGACCGTCTCATTTAAGGTTTTTAATGTGGTGAAGGTTTACAGACAATAAGAGTTTGCCCTCATTAGTTAACAATAGACAGTAGCTTGTACCAGTTGCCATTGTTCGTGCTCAGAATTGTCCTTTTATATGGGACATTAAAACTTACAGGAATTAATTTATAAATTTTTTTATTATAAAATATTGTTAATTTTCCAATTCGTGAAAATTAATTTAGATTACAATGATTGAATTCAGAAAGCTAACAGAGGTATTATCTGTGTTACATTACAGGTAAATAAATAAGTACGAAGTAATACTGTAAATTAATTCGAGAAACAGATACCGGCAGATCGGAACTGTTTGTTTCGCCGGTCAACAGATGTCCTGTGATTTGATTATGAGTATTCTCATACACGCTTATTTACATATGAAATACACCCTAACTACGAGACTAGGAGTTGCATCCTCGATGACATTACGGCGCAGTGGATTGTAATGCTCTGCACCAGAGCGGAATGAACACAAAAAAATAAATAACCAATGTTTTTCAAACAAGCATACTCTCAAGTAGTACATGGGAAGTGCGAGTTACACTTAATCTCTTTACATATAAATAATAAAAAAAACTAATTAATAATAAAAAAATAACTTACTAAATAAATAAGGTTAGGGAGTCATGCTGGCAATGGTACAGCCAGTACCGATTGCGAGCACGAATCCAATAGAAATGAGTTAGTCGAGTGGCTGGTGAAGTGGGGTACTGAAAAGGACTAGGAATAGAACTCGAATCGGAAAGATGAGAGAAAGAACCGGCCTCCGGGCCGGAAGATCACTCGCGCAAATCACTTGCTTAACCTGAACATCTTTGGAACCCATCGGAATGCACCCACCAAGAGCGTTTCCATTGTCAGTTTGCCACTTTCACAAATTCCGAATTGTCGTAACCTCGGGCGCCGACGAATGTTTGGCCGATCCCTTTTCTGTCAATAGCACGCACTCGGACGAATAGGAATGCTGCTACCAAACTGGCCACGATCAGTACCAAGAGGAGCATCACTAGCCCAGCCACGAAGCTAGGGACCGACATGCAGATCGTCTCGGGATCCTGCGAGGACGCCGACTGGATCACTACTGTTTCGTTGTTTTGCGCAGAGTTCAGGGCGAAGTTTACGTCACCTGGGGCAACTACTTGGATGGTTCGACTGGTGTTTACGTCGGTCATTTCTTGGGCTTCGCGCTTGTACACGTGGCTTACCACAACGTTCATGACCTCGGGGCTACGCCTCTTCCTTGCTCCTTGTAGCTCAGCTGGTAGATTCTCCACCGACCTAGGTCGGCCACCTAACGTAGCCAAGTTCCCTTCAAACTCATCAGCTATGCTACTCTTCCTCTTCACGGTGTTGTAGATTCCGTGATGCCCTGGTGGTGGAGGAGGGGGTAAGTGGATTTCGTTGCTGGTCTGCGCTGAAACCTGCGGGGCTGGCGATGAGAGGTTAGGGGGATTAGACGTGGAAGACGAAGAGGTTTGGGCTTGCGGAGCTGGTACCACATCGGCGTTGTTCTCAGAGTAAGCTCCGGTAGGACCGGAAGGATGTCTAGGATCCGGGAACGCCGGAGGTAGACCGTACTCGCTGGAAGGTGGTGGTCCGTATTCCGCGTTTAAGTTACCGTGGCCGAAGTCCCCACTGCCAAGAGCGTTTCCTAGTGGGGGGGCTCCGTATTCGCTGGTCAAACCGAGGTGACCACCACATTTGGGTTCGGGACAGTTGTACCTGCATACTTGGATGACGCACTGGAAGTGGACATTCATGGAATCGGGGAACTTGAAGGCTTGGAAGTACGCGAATGACACCACCGAAGCCGAGGGTCCGAAGTTCTTGATCTTCTGGAACTTGCTCATGATCTTGGGTCGCACCACGCATCCGTACTGGTCCACCAGTTGGATAGGAGCCCTCTTGCCGTCATGTGCCACGCAGTTACGCACCAACATGTCGAATTTATTCTCGTCGTCCTTGATGGCTAAGACCATAGTCATGGTTTGTCCGATCTTGACGATTCCAGATACCTCCGAAGCCCAAGGTCCTTTACCGACTTGTATCTGCATCCAGCATTGCAAATTGTCTCCCAGGAAGTTGGCAGTGACTGCGTGCAGCATGTCAACCTGGAACGGCCTGAACGTAACAGCCTTTTCGTAGAAGTCGTACCAGGTGCACCGAAGCTTCCTGGCTTGATCCCAAACTTCTTGAACGTAGGGATCGTATTGGATGATGATGGTGTTTTCGACGTAACTACCGCTAGGCGTGGGGGCTCCGTACGCTGCGGCGTTGTGATTGGCAGACGACGACATGCCGCAGCTGTTGAGGAAAATTTCGAAAGTAGCACTCAAGTGCCCCGTCCCAGGCTTCAGATGTACACAGTGCGGATCGCTGTAGAATCCCTTGGAGAATATCATCCCGTAGAAGGGTCGATCGAATTCGATGTTGACCCGCATGTGGGTCTTTTCGCACTGCACCTGCAAGTGCTTTATTTGGGGCATGTCAGGGGTGGCCAGGGGCCACGGGTCATCTGAGGATCCTCCACCGCCTCCCTGGAGAAGACCCGCGGGTGCGTACCCAGGACCCGAGAGCGGAGGACCGTACACAGCCCTATGTTCTAGGGGCAGAGACGCAGAGTCCGACAGGGGCGCATCGCAGTTTATTTCCTGGGGAAAGACGGTTAGTTTTAGTCGACGTACGGGGTGTTTTTGAAAAAGGCTCCATAAATCAGGACAAAAAAATAAGACGATTTTGTTTTTGAGATAATTCTTTGAAATCAACTTTTTTTTAATATATTTTATATTAATATGCCAGTGTTTTTATCATCTGATAGGGGTCGCTAGTTACGACATTGCCTGATTTCATGATATATTATTTTAGGTTTATTGTTTTTTGAGAAAAATGCAATTGACTGTGTCAAAAATCTTCTTCTCTAATATACAGGGTGTCTGAAAATGGACAGGCCATACAAGAATTCAAGCAAAATTGCCCTAAGGTAACTTGATATGAATCAGCTTATTTTCATCCAAGAAGAATGACCTATTAATTTCCGGACACCCCGTATATTTACGAATAGAAGCTGGTTGAGTCAGTTGCGTTTAGCTTAGAAGCAATGCGTTTTCAAAAATTTCGACAATAGTGATTTTTAGAATATAATATAAATCAGTGCAACTAATTGGCTGAATTTAAAACTTCACCATAATTGTTTAAATTTTATCCAGCTGCTCTGATTTTCTGTAAAAATCTGAAAATCACGAAAGAATTCGCTTATAATATACGCCAAACATCGTAAAAAACGTAACCTCAAAAAAGTTGTCATAAAGTGCCACTAGCGACCTCTAACAGATGACCAAGAACTAAATATTAACTAACGACATTTCAATGCATGTTCTTTGAAAATAAATGTATAAAAATTATCTTCAACGCTTTGAATCGTACATAAAAAAATTTTAAAATCGGTCCATGAATTTGTGGTACCTTTATCCAAAACACCCTGTAGAATCAGAATGGCAGTATAAATAGACACAAATCTAATTAGAACACTGACGTGGACAGATACTACCTTTGAGTTTAAGTCAGTAAATCACCAAATTATTTTTAATTTAAAAAATTATACAAATATGACTGGTGAAAATTGAGGTGGCCGTATTTTGATAATGGCATGGGGCCCATTCTGTACTTTAGGGGATCACATAGAGGGGTTGCCCGCTTGAGATGTCAAAAATGATTTCACGTTTTTTTATTTTTTAAAAAATTAAATTTAATGATAGATATACCTTTTTAAATTTTAATTCGTCACGAGTATACCATTTTTCAAAATCCATACTTTATATCTTAGGAAAAATAAAAAACGCCTGATTGTACTTATTGGTTGATTGCGAAAAAAAAACATAACATGTGCAACGTTTTTCAAGAACCCAGATTGGATAACCCTTATTTTAAGATCTTCTTTCGCAATTTTTTTTTTTTTTTTTCATGATGAAACCTGTCCCAGCGCGTTATAAAATCATCTTAAAAATGATGTGGGTCCCATGCTTCATAAGTACTGCCACTTCAATTTTCATCAATCGCCGCTGTTCAAAAGTTCACAATTTTGATCGCAATTAGCAGCCCAATGTGGACTCGAAGATATTCGAACTGATGTGGCGGCAAAATATAGAAAAGGTTTGAGAGAAGGTGAATGGCTTACCCCTAACAGCAAAACCGCCCAAATGCCGACAATGCTGAGCCTGAGTGACCTTGTCATGATGTTTGTTGTGCCAGTGTATCGTTTCTGTAACGAAAATAATGAAAGCACCTTGACATTGAGTTAAGGTAAGGCAGATGTAGCCAGTAATACCGCGCCTCTCTGCACCTGACAGAGTCTGACCCACTAACACACTCCGTAAGCACAGTTCAGCGTCCTGCATCGTCAGTGCATCTCCAATTCATCTATCTAGTAAATGTGTACCGATTTACAGGGCGGGCGCGAAAATACGTACTACCGGGCGCGGTTAGATTTTTAATTGGCAAGCTACGATATAAAATTATACTCGGTGTGTCAGTCAACCGGTTTTTTTGCAATGCTCGGCATAATTTGAAACATGTTATTCTTGTAATCACAACTTTTTCTTTACCATTTTTTTGTAATTAAAGCTGGGATATTAGGAGCAGACCATTGTTATGTGTTTAATTCCAAATAGAATACGTTTTCAAGTCCACCGTATACAACGTTTCAGTTGTTTAATGTGCTAAGTGTGTAATTGTAAGTTGAAACTAATAATTTAATTAAAAATTTTGTAATGGGAATGCAGCTTTCCTCCTTAATAATATACTTTAAACCGTTTCGCTGTAATTTTCCCGGTAGCGGTCAGCTGACTGTAGCAGATACATCTGTTGCCCGATTTCTAATGATAATGGACAATTATTTATGCCGACATCGTTAAAAAGTCAGTTTGACCGTATTAAGCTATAAAAAAAAAAACGCTTTCATATCTCCAAGAAATAAACAAGTCGACTAGGATGTTTTCGTGGGAATACGTATGACTTTGATGTCTTCACCAACAGGCCTACTTTGCCCCTGGGTTTGCGTTATCAATTGGACCGATAATAAGAGAAATGTAAATGCCTAAGTACTGGAGCAAAGCCTTATCTATTTTTCATCAACGACCGACATTCCTATAGTCTTAGAAAGTGGAACAAGTGATCTAACACTATTACTGTCTGCTTTAATAAAAGTTTATCCGAACGTCCGTTTATGGTTTTTGGTTACACGCTTCCTAGCTCTGGGGATACCGATAATTACTATTCATACGTGTATACGGGGTGGTAATACCCAAACGTCCAAATTGGCCAAGTTCCAAATACCCTTGCTTAGTCGAAATTTTCACTCCAGTTCCGAATTTCGATCAATTTTTGCTGCAGTTCTAAATTCAGTTGATAATTTCGCTACAGTTCCGATTTCAGTTGAATATTTTACTGTAATTCTGAACTTTGTTGAAAATTTTACCACAGTTCTGAATTCAGTTGAAAATTTTGCGGTAGCTATGAATATAATTGAAAGTTTTGCTATAGTTCTGATTTCAAATGCAAATTTTGTCGAAAATTTTGACAAATCTCAATTTCTTTAAAAACTTTGTTATAGGTCTGAATTTTGTTGAAAATTTTGCTGTACATCCAAATTCAGGGGAAATAATTTTGCCATAATTTTAAATATTAGGTATGTGTCTCTCATAGTCTTTAAAAAACAATGTTATGGTCCTTTGAACCATGAAACATTTTATCTCTCTTAATTTTGTAAAAAAATTACATCTTAGAACTGTGCCAAAAAGTGTCATACCACAAATATTTAAATTAAAGGCAACAATCTTTTTCCAATATTTTACATACTTTTATATACGTTTATTTATAACGTAACGAAACTTAGGGCACGCGCCCTGTATATTTTGGTATTCGTACATCTGGTATAAATTGAACTGCGACGACCTTGGTTCAGGAACATTTACTGAAACGCGTTAATTTTTCATGTTTCAGTGACCGTCTTGAACTGGTTGCATGCCTGGTTACGATTTTTTGTCTGAATCTTAATTCTATTGTTGATTTAATTGAAGCGGTAGGGTTTTCTCTTTTCCCATTGTTTTTTGGTAGAGAGTTGAACAGACCAGCAAACCCTGACTAATTTAATGTAACTTTCTTGAAACAATGACATGTGCGCCGTTTTGAAATTTAGAAGACAAAAAGTAAGCATTACAATTAATCTTTAATAAGTCGGAACAATTAATAATTTTACGTCATTCATTGTCTTTCTAAAAGTGAACAATATTTAATATCAGTTCATAAAATTTCAGTATCTATTTCTAACATTTGTACTTATTTATCATCGGGAGACGTTTCCAAAAAAAAAAAAATAATAATGTTTTCGTTTGTTCTAGAAATTCAAATATTTTTACTATACTTTCGAAAACCAAATAATTATTTATAACTGTACGATGTACTCAGTTATCAACGGGAAGCGTTTCCAAAACAAATAATAATTTTTTAGTTCTTTAATATTTTCGTTCTAGAAATTCAAATATTTTTACTATACTTTCGAAAACGATGTAATTATTTATAATTGTACGATGTACTCGGTCAACAAAAATCATCATAAATTGTTTGCTAATTAAGTGTAGATTATTTTTAGCAGAAATTAGTTCACATAAAACGGTATTATGAAACAGATGAACTGGTAATAGAAACATTTTTTTTTTTGGTCACTGGCTATAGTACTATATAACCATTCATTTAACGCATAAATGAATAAATAAAAAATATGTCGATTCACTAAAGTATCACAGTTAGTGCATGCTCATTTTTTGTTCCACATATATGGTTTCTGTTTAACCTGTTCTGTTGCTTTGTAACTTGTAACAAGATGTTAATTACATGATTCAAAAGTGAAGCGAAAATATGCAAAATTGTTAAAAACTATGTAATATAATGATTTTAGAATTAAACGAAACAAATACTGTTCGGAACATAGGTAAAATTTTGATTCATTATTATTATTAAGTAAATGATAAATCTATTCGAAACAAGGTCGATTTATGAATGCAATAAATTAGTGTATTTTTTGTGGATCCCGTTACATTTATTTTTGTCCCGCCGAGTTAAAAATAATTCTATTTACATAATAAACGAAGCGAATTAGATGAGTACCTTCAGGCTACTACTAAGTAAGGTGTGTATCAGCCAATTAGCACCTGTAGTATTTATGCCGTACGCGGCGAGCGCCTGCGCAAGAAAGCCCATTGACACACTGCCTTGCTTTCAATTCTACTGTGTGCTCAATATTATATCTTATACACAGAGATGATATAGCCGGTAGGTATCCTTATTTCCCGATTTTAATGTTTGTTAAACGCGCTCCGTTATTAAAGTGAATGATACACCGTTGTTTTTTTTTTTTGTTAATAACTGCACTAATTCACGAAACTAACCGGTCACAACTGTGTTTTGGTAATTACATCCTAATACCCGTTTAAACGGCACGAGCTGGCAGTTGCGTTCCCGCCAAACGTAAGTGATGTTTTTTTTGTACACTAACACTATGCTTTTCGCAACGATTTTTTTTCTCTTGCAAATAACCTTACTTACTAGATAATAATCCAAATAATGTCCACGCACAGGATAAATTCGTAAATAATCCTTAAAATGCACTATCACTCAACACTGACACATCGGCATCCAGAGGTACCCGAAAATAATCCTGTTTGTATGTGTAAAACACGCTGGCGTGCAGGCTTGAACGAAAAGTAATACACTTTAAAATGTTCCGTTGGTTTTATATTGACGTGAAAGTTAACCCCACTCTGTAAGAAGAGTTACTAGTGGAACAATGTTTTAAGCTTTCCGAAGACTCAACAGCCGGATCCTATAACTTTGGTATTGTGCACGAAATCCGGATTTTGGACGCATTTGATTCACTTTCTTTCGGTTGACGCATTGTTGTTTTCCGTTGCACAATAGATGGACGATATCTGGCTAGTCACCCTAATATTAACTTTCGATTATCGGGTTTGCGATGGCGTTTGGAATTTTTCGATTTGCATAGCTCGTTGGGGACGGAGGTGTTAGGACAATTGATTTACGGAACTTTCTTTTACAAGGAACTTTATTCGTGCAGGCGTTTCGAGAAATACAGAACTTCAAAAATAAGGGTATCAATTCTATTTTAAACAATTAATGCGATTTGCTGTGGAAAGCTTAGCTTAGGTATATGAATTTTTGTACCAAACCGATTACATGAAAATTTTTCACAAAATACATTTTTATCCGGGCAAAATCTTAAATAATTCCCCTAGACTAATTCCACCCTCCTCAATTCATTTTTAAAATATGTTTAAGCTATGGTTTCTTTAAATTTAAATTAGTCCTGAATATACAGGGTGTCCCGAACTGTTCAGAAATGACATAAAAATGAAGAAATCAGTATGACATTGGATATGACCTTGACATTAAGTTTCAAGGTCAAACCCAGATTTGTTTGAAAATATTACATGGAACACCCTATTTCTATACCAGTAATCGTTAGAGTGCCGAATTTTACTTTCGAACATGAGTCAGAAAACTTTTCCTGTTGCAGGAAATTTGATTATTAACCTGACAAAATGTTACATTTCATTCCAATAGTCGTTTTAGTTGATTATATCAAACTCTTTTGCTTATCCATTATTTTTTGTTGTATGATATTTAAAAACTGAGTGTGACCTTCAAGTGACATACAAGGACATTTTAGAAAAAAGAAATTATCAAGGTTTCCGACATAAAATTCGGCACTGTATCGGTTGCTGGTATAAAAAATATAGTATGTGTTCTGTTTAACAATATCGAGATGACCATGGTTTGACCTTGCTACTTGTGGTGAAGGTCAAATCCAAGGTCACCTTCTAACTTATCAATCAAAATCCTACAAATTTTACTTGGAACACTTTTGTCGAGTTATTCAGAGAAAAATTAGTTTGACCTTTAAGTGACCTTCAATGATAAAAAAAAATCTGACTGCACGTAAAATTTAGCGCCCTATCTATTATAAAAAATTGTGTGTTCCATTTAACATTTTCAAAATAACTTTGGTGTAACCTTGAAAGACGCCACCGTAATGGTTTCTTGATGTCCTACAACTTTCATCCGGGACACCCTGTATATGATCGCGTAATATAGCAAGTTGCCGACAAGGAGCAATTTTGAATGAAAAATAGGACTTGCTCTATTTTCATCCAATAATCTTTTACGCAAACATACATATTATACAAGGTGTAAATGAGTTTAGCCAAACTTTAATGGCGTATTCTACCGATAAAAATAACCAATTTTTGCCCTATAGAAATTTTTGATAAGACGCTTACAATGAATTGCATCCCATTTGTTGTGATTTGTAGTGTCTTGAAATCTCTCAAAAATATTAGTTATTGAATTTATTGTTACACATTTAGCAAACAATAGAAAATGGTAAATAGCAACGTAGGTACCTAAGTATCTTCTTATTTGATTTCTCAATTATCTAAAGACCAGTAAATTTTGCGAATACTTTACAAGAATACTTTTGCCACAAATTGATTGTTCATTCTCAAAACATTTAAAATTATTTAAAAAACCAGTGGCGTACGATTTTTTTTCAAAAAAGGTTCCCTACTCCCCAAATATTTACGCCACTGGAGTATATTTTGGAATAAGTTACAGGAAAAATAATATAAATATTTAAAACTTTTAACACTGTATCTCCGTAGGGAAGCGTCCTTTAAAAAATTTGTATAGTGCAAGACTTGATTATTTTCATCGTAGAATACGCCATGAAAGATTTCCTAGACGAAAGAGCCAAAATTCGAAGATAAAGTAAAAAACAGTCGGCAGATTCAAATTTCTCAAGGTTTTATCTGAGTACTTTGTTTTTTTTTAATTTTCACGAACTACAGAATCATTCGCATTGAATTTGCGGAAATATACATATTATGTTGATTAGTCAAAAAACATATGTTTACACAAGTATGAGTTCTGTTTGAAAATTAATAATTTTAATCTTTAATACGTGTATAATTATAAACAATAACAAATGTAAAGAAAATTTTGCCTTCGCTAGCGTACAAATCTGGGAAATAAAACTGTTATAGATCATAAATAAACATTTATATGAATTTAATTACAGACTTTTTAATTTGAAATTAAAAGGAGAATGAATGAATGTACTTAAAATAATATATTTCATTATTATACCAAATAGAGCGTGAGTTAACCATCTTTGGGTTGAATTGAATCGTTAAAAATAATGTTGGCAACACTAAATTACCGTGTAGCGATATAAAATATATCTTGATAAAAAATATATACCTATATATATAATTCAGTCCATACCTTAGACTTTGTTAATTTTTGTCAACCGTAAGGTGCTCAATTGTGTTACACACAATAATTTTTGAAATAAAGAAAACTGTATATTTTTAGAACGAAATATGTCCATTCAAATTGGTAACCTCTGGTCTAAAGTCATGGGCGAGCACTCCTATATATTTTTTTTTATTTAGATAGAGCTTCTCCAAACAAAAGTTTTAGCTACGCCTACTGTTGGTCCGTGTGTAACAATTTCAAGCACCTTACATTTTGCCTATTATAAGAAAAATGTTAATTTTTGTCAACTATCAACCAAGAATTATTACGCGAAACTAAGGCCGACCGTGCGTCGCCCTCTTTCTAATCGAGAGCTCTCCCCCGCTCTGTAGAGCATGTTTATGTTTTTTTTTTAGTTTAGATATTGGCCACCAGTAATGAAATTAGGCAGATTGGAAATGGTTAAATCGTTGGTGCGTGTGAACAATTTAAATTGTTTACAATAAATTAATCAGCAGTTCACGCTCGTACGTGAATGCCGATGGTATTAATGTTGTTTACTGTATGTTTGATTATATGACACCGATTAACGTACATAGTAGGGCAAAATCTATGTACCATACAAAATCCATTCATAGACGTGTTCTGCATTAAAGCGCGTTTAATTTCCCTTAGATGTTTGGTAGCTGACTCAGAAGTATTTGGAGTAAGCAAAAGGTAATGTTTTATCTCGGGCTCAAAATTCGTAATATGCGTCAGTAATGTCGTACATATTTTAATGAAAATTATCAATTTTATGGGTTGGGGTAAAAGTAAAACGCTTTATTTGACCCGCATTAATCGCATATTAATTGCATATTTTTAAAAAGAATTAGGTGACCTCTCATATTATTTGAGAGATTCACACCTCTGTGAAATTTTATGCAAATATATGTAGGCTTTATTTTTAGCAGCGCTTATTGTTGATACATTAATCACGGTGCTAAAAGAAAGTTGGATTTTTAGAACATTGTTCAAATACGCATGTAACAAGGTTGACGAAAAAATTTGTTAAGGTTTCCATTGTATACTTTGTAAAAAGTTTAAAGATAATATCTGCGTTTGAGTGTAAAGGTTCACGTAATTGTAATTAAAATTTCCCGAAATGTTAGTCCAATATATTTATATTAAGATTCATCGAGTTCATTACTGATGTGACGTTTACATTTTCTAATTCGATTCGTATATTTTCTTGTTAGATTAAATCATTGGCCTAATTTGTGCGTACGTCTAGTTATTTACGCTCATTATTGTGTATGGGTATTTAACAATTCGATAACATTTGCAAAGCACGGGACTTACAATTAGAAAGTAACCTAAAATCACCGATTCGTGTTGTTTAATTAATCATTTTAATCATATGTTCTGTTCTTACTGTGAGGAGTTAAATTTTACGGCTTTTCTTCGAGTAAAATATAAACGATATGTATTTTATTCACCTGGCACTAAAATGGTCTCTTCTAGGCAATCTTGTGTCGAACTTGGAATTATGCGCCTCCGATTTACTCAAATAGTTTTACATCTTGGTTACAATCTTGTAACAATATACAATATACAATATACAGGGTGTTAGAAGTTTGACTGCCTTAACAGACGATATAATACATTAAAATAAACAAAAAAAACCTTGGACATGGGTCCTAAACTTAACCATTATAGCCCAGGAAAATTTTGTAATGAAATAATTTTTTTTCTCGGAATAATCTGAAACAGTTTTCCTAGACTAATTCAACCCTCCTAAATTCATTTTTAAAATCAGTTATTAGCTAAAGCTAAAGGGGAAGGAGGTACATGTTTTATTTTTTCAGAATTTTTTCTCGTGACAAAAACCGCTGTTTTTATATTTTTCTGTCATTTTCTGCGTAACTATAGAACTTAGAGAAAAACCGATATCGCCAGCGATTGTAGCGGGTCGAAGTACGTGGGTTTTTCGATGTTTTCATTTAGATTTTAGGAACTCGCATATTTTGAGAATTTTTGGAAATTTTAATGGGCTCAGGAAAAGCCCAGCCCAGGAAAATTTTGTACCTAAGTAATTTTTTTTCTCGGAATAATCTGAAACAGTTTTCCTAGACTAATTCAACCCTCCTAAATTCATTTCTAAAATCAGTTATCAGCTAAAGCTGAAGGGGAAGGAGATACATGTTTTATTTTTCAGAATTTTTTCTCGTGACACAAAAACCGCTGTTCCGAGAAGTAATCTGATGTCAAATTTGAATTTTATGCACTCGATTTACTACGATCAGGGTCCCTAAAGAGTAATAGTTTAGTCCTATATGCAACTTATAGTCATGGCGTAGAAATTCTACCGTTTTTATATTTTTCTGTCATTTTCTGCGTAACTATAGAACTTAGAGAAAAACCGATATCGCCAGCGATTTTAGCGGGTCGAAGTACGTGGGTTACGATGTTTTCATTTAGATTTTAGGAACTCTCATACTTTCAGAATTTTTGGAAATTTTAATTTGCTCAGGAAAATTTTGTACCTAAATAATTTTTTTTCTCGAAATAATCTGAAACAGTTTTCCTAGACTAATTCAACCCTCCTAAATTCATTTCTAAAATCAGTTATCCGCTAAAGCTGAAGGGGAAAGAGGTACATGTTTTATTTTTTCAGAATTTTTTCTCGTGACAAAAACCGCTGTTTTTATATTTTTCTGTCATTTTCTGCGTAACTATAGAACTTAGAGAAAAACCGATATCGCCAGCGATTTTAGCGGGTCGAAGTACGTGGGTTTCGATGTTTTCATTTAGATTTTAGGAACTCGCATATTTTGAGAATTTTTGGAAATTTTAATGGGCTATAGCCCAGGAAAATTTTGTACCGAAATAATTTTTTTCTCGGAATAATCTGAAACAGTTTTCCTAGACTAATTCAACCCTCCTAAATTCATTTCTAAAATCAGTTATCAGCTAAAGCTGAAGGGGAAGGAGATACATATTTTATTTTTTCCGAATTTTTTTCTCGTGACACAAAAACCGCTGTTCCGAGAAGCAATCTGATGTCAAATTTGAATTTTATGCACGCGATTTACTATGATCAGGGTCCCTAAAGAGTAATAATTTAGTCCTATATGCCACTTAAAGACATGGCGTAGAAATTCTATCGTTTTTATATTTTTCTGTCATTTTCTGCGTAACTATAGAACTTAGAGGAAAACCGATATCGCCAGCGATTGTAGCGGGTCGAAGTACGTGGGGTTCGATGTTTTCATTTAGATTTTAGGAACTCGCATATTTTGAGAATTTTTGGAAATTTTAATGGGCTCAGGAAAAGCCCAGCCCAGGAAAATTTTGTACCTAAGTAATTTTTTTTCTCGGAATAATCTGAAACAGTTTTCCTAGACTAATTCAACCCTCCTAAATTCATTTTTAAAATCAGTTATTAGCTAAAGCTAAAGGGGAAGGAGGTACATGTTTTATTTTTTCAGAATTTTTTCTCGTGACAAATATATCGGCAGCGATTTTAGCGGGTCGAAGTACGTGGGTTTCGATGTTTTCATTTAGATTTTAGGAACTCTCATACTTTGAGAATTTTTGGAAATTTTGATGGGCTCAGGAACATTTTGTACCTAAATAATTTTTTTCCCGGAATATTCTGAAACTGTTTTCCTAGACTAATTCAACACTCCTAAACTCATTTCTAAAGTCAGTTATTAGCTAAAGCTTAAGGGGAAGAAGATACATGTTCTGTTTTTTAGAATTTTTTCTCGTGACACGAAAACCGCTGTTCCGAAAAGAATCTAATGTAAAATTTGAATTTTATGCTTACGATTCAACCCTCCTAATTTCTATAGATTCTAGGCCAGTTCTACCCTCTTAAATTAATTTCTAGTGGGTTAATTTTAAAAGTAAAATATTTTCCTATATCACCTTAAGATTTCAATTTCTTTTTTCAGGTGGAGTTCTATGGAGGACTGAATCGAAAGAGCAACATTCGAAGATGTATGTTCCTAGTACCTAGACGTTATATTATATTGTCTGGGGCTAGGAGTATATTTTTGTTTTTGCTCACATCAAACATAGACACAGAAAAATGCATCCCATAAAGAGTCAAACAAGCAAACAACAAGAGTCAACAATTTTGATTTTTGTCTCTAACGAAAATAGATTTTTAAGAAAAAAACTGACCCTCACGAAAATGGGTTTTTTGCTCCATTTTTTGCTCCATTTTTTGCCGATTTTTTGTTCGGGGCCCGAAACAAAGGGGATTTTTTGCTCCATTTCTTGTCGTTTTTCAACAAAATATGTGATGGACGAATTTTAGTTAAATTTTAAGCAAAATGAGGGTAATTGTTTGTTAAATTTTTTGTCGATGTACTACCTCTCGGTCCAGCAGGGACCGAGAGGGGTATTTTTTTGGAGCAAAAAATTTCCCCTCCTTTTCCAGACCAATTTCCAGATCAAATTCAATTAAACTTTAAATAAATTATGTTTCCAATAAAATTTTATAAAAAAACTGACGTTATTTTGAACCCCTCACGAAAATGGGTTTTTTGCTCCATTTTTTGCCGATTTTTTGTTCGGGGCCCGAAACAAAGGGGATTTTTTGCTCCATTTTTTGTCGATTTTTAACAAAAAATGTGCTGGACGAATTTTAGTTAAATTTTAAGCAAAATGAGGGGAATTTTTTGTCGATGTACTCCCCTCTCGGTCCAGGCTGGACCGAGAGGGGTATTTTTTTGGAGCAAAAAATTCCCCCTCCTTTTCCAGACCAATTTCCAGATCAAATTCAATTAAACTTTAAATAAATTATGTTTCCAATAAAATTTTAGAAAAAAACAGACGTTATTTTTGAACCCCTCACGAAAATGGGTTTTTTGCTCCAATTATTGCCGATTTTTTGTTCGGGGCCCGAAACAAAGGGGATTTTTTGCTCCATTTTTTGTCGATTTTTAACAAAAAATGTGATGGACGAATTTTAGTTAAATTTTAAGCAAAATGAGGGGAATTTTTTGTTAAATTTTTTGTCGATGTACTTTTTTGGAGCAAAAAATTCCCCCTCCTTTTCCAGACCAATTTCCAGACCAAATTCAATTAAACATAAATAAATTATGTTTCCAATAAAATTTTAGAAAAAAATCTGACGACATTTTTGAACCCCTCACGAAAATGGGTTTTTTGCTCCATTTTTTCAATTCAATTTTAAGCAGAAGTGATGAATCTTTTCTACAGTTTTCGTCAGTTTTTTAGAACGAACTCCTTCCTTTTCCGACAAATTTTTTTAACATAAAATTCACCCTACTTTTCATTATTGGAAAATTTAACAAGTCATTTTTGTTTTAGTAGGAAATGAATACAATCGATTTTTTTTAAATAAAACTCGGTAATAAGATAAAAATAATTTTATTAAAAATAAGCAATTTTTACAGTATTTCGTAAGTAATAAAATTTATTGCATTATAATATAATTAATACAAAAGTTGCGCTCACACTTGAAAAATACAGGTTTCCTTCATCTCTTGACATTTTTGTGTTGTTGTCAGATGGTTGTCTCCTCCATTTCGGCGTCTTCCTGAATTCTGTAAAAAAATAGAGAATTGTGTCTTAATGCATATATATATATATACAGGGTGTTTTAAATGTAATAAGTAATAAAAACAAATTTATCTACACTGTAAATATAATACAAAATGTATGCAGAGCGTTGCATTAGTAATGACGAACTTCAATGGCATTTTTTCGAAAATATTTAAAAAAACGCACGATTCTAAGGAAAAACAACTTATAGAATGTTTAAACATTTTTTTAAATAACAAACAATGATTTTTGCGATTTCTGTAATCAGAGTTTGAGGTGAAGGAGAGACATGTTTTTTTTATTGCTGATGACACGAAACTCTTCCCTAGAGAATAATTATTTAGTGATCGATTAGTGTTTATGACTTTGGCACATAAATGCTACACTTTCAACTAAATCTGAAAAACTCCTTGATGACTAATAATTCGACCGTACTAAATTAAAAATTTTTCTGCGGCACCAAACAGCCTTTTCAAGCGCCTGGAGATAATTTTATAACGCAAAACTACACAACATTAATTTACAGATCCGGATTCGATATCAAGTTAATTTAAATTCAAGAAACGAACACAAACACGGACACTGCGATGATAAACTGCAGAGATATTACGTATTGAGATACATTAGGTATTGTCACATATATGTAAAAATTTGCGTCACAGGTTTGCTCATAGCTTTCACTAACTGAAATCGTGCGCCCATATCGTTGCACCCGGATACGAGAAAGTGCTATATCGAATATGAAATATAATAAGGCACGTACCTTAAAATACACTCCTACGACAACTATTAGACTTACACAGTACGAACTGTGGCAATTTTATTAGTTCTACCCATCACGTCAGAAATGAAAATCAAATAAAAGACAACAGGTTATTTTATTTTTAAATAGTTGTTTAACGAGAGAACTACTTAACTGACACTACAGAAAATAGGATCGGGCATAAATCATAACTAAAATCCTGATCGGGGTCAATCAGGTTGTAAATTCGAACGTTTAAATAAAATACAGTTTTACGATGAAAACATAACATACTATTTCCTGTTGATTTGTGGGTAAAAGTGCCTCTTCTGACTAGAATCAAGATACTCAACCGAAGATATGTGTGAGAAAAAAAAATCGTTATTTAAAAGTAACATTCCCTTAAAATATTTACTGCAAGATACGAGAATTACTTTATACTAAGATCTAAAAGTTACGCTTATTATGCGTAGTCATATCATCAGCATGTATTGTTTTTTATCTAGGACTATAATACATACATCTATTCTATTGTTTTACATTGTTTTAGTGGCCGTTCGCATTGTATGACAATGATGTTCCACGAAACTATAATTAGTACTAGTTTAAGATACCTACATTCGAGATATACGCACTGGAAACTTGCCTATTTGTTACGACATCTTTATTAAGACTATTAATAACTGGTTGTGCGGGTTCTTAAAACTGTTAGACAATACAAAAACAAATAAATCGCTAAATAGAAACTACGAACGAACACCAAATTATTTTTCATGTTAATTAATTTATTTGCATAATCTAACGCTGTTGATTTATTATAAATAAATATAGTGTTCTTAAAAAGTATAACTATATATTCTAGACACTCCGCATGAAATTTTAAACTGTTAAACTAAAAGCGTTTTGTATTGTCGCATTAAAATATACGGACGGCCATCCAAACGCATTTATTGCAGCAGAGCAAAATTATTAATTTAACTTCACTAGTAATTTTAATTATACACTTATTTGAGGATAAACGTTTCTGGCAAATCATAAAATTGGGATGCGTTTTATATATTAAATTTTGAATTTATAACGACAGAATTTGTATCAGCACCACACACGAATGAAAAATATTTACCTAAATACATATAATAGTCTTCATTCAAAACAAAATCGTAATTTAGTAAATAAACAGTAAGGTTTTTAAATTAAAATTTAAAAAACGTTCTTTGTAAGTGAGAAAATAATTTCCCATTGCGACGGCGACGGTAGGAAAATACGATTCAAACGCCTGAACCACATTTTGGCACCGCGATTGGTGTTATAGGTCCGCTCGCTCTTAACAGCGTATTCAGTGTCAAGCTATGACCCACTTAGGCTTCCTCCTAAAGAGAAAGTTTTACCAGTCGTTAAGTATAATGGAACATTCTTTTTCCCTTTTATTCACACTACAAATTCGATTATGTTTTTGTTTATTAAAAACACTTTACCGCGGTTATACCTTCGGCTTAGTCATACCTCGGCTACAACACGAGTTGTTTTTGAGTATGTAATAAAATAACCGAAACGGCAATAACGGCGATAATAATTCATGTTTTAAAATATGAATCCTTTCCATAAGCAAATTCTGTATAAAAGTTATATAAACAGGATATTTATTAAATAAATTACTTTTTTCTTAATCATTGGAATTCCTCAGAGAAATTGTAGTGGAGGAATGATGACGTCTTTATTGAAAGACGGAATTATACTTTCACTACACTATGTGCCATATTGTTAATTGTTACGTATAAATCCATAGGACTCCTATGGATTTATAAGATGGAATATGGAATAAGAAACTACTTAACTACTACAATATGAAAAAATTAAGTACAAGAAAAGCAGCGTAAGAAACAAGATTTCTAATAAAATATGAAGATGGAAGAAAATTTCCGAAACGTACGTAATTTTAATAAAGCTGAATTTCTATGTGGAACAATTTTATTTATAATCGCTATCCCAGGAAATAATAAAAAAAATTAAATTAATTCCAGTGAGGAATTTTATACAAATTATAAATGGTGGAATGGGTTAAATATATTCCAAATGGAGTCCTATGGAATTTATAACAATAATACTACAAATTTATAAACTGTTATGTGGAGGAATTTTATTTATGACCGCTGTTTCAGGAATAATAAAAAAAATAGTTCATATCTCGGAACGGAAAATTTATGCTTGTTTTGAAACATTTTGAAAATATTTTAAATCAACTTGACTGTAAATTAATATTTACTACTTTCATTCAAATATATGCCTTATTAACTCTAAAGAAATATTGCATTCTCCAAATAAATAATTTAATTGGCCGTAAAATATTTTATTTCTCTCAATTAAATCCTTTCCAGTGTGCCCCTCGTATCCGTATACTAGTGAAAAATAGGCCTACTAACACAATGTTCAATCGCATATTCAAGTGTGGGTCATGTTTTTACCTGCATATGCTCAGTTAGCCCACTACAAGTACAATACGCGGAGAAAGTGACAGAACAGAATAATAAAATAGTAGGTCACGACATCTTGTAAAATTTATATTCGCCTCAACCCACCTATGATGATATATGTACGTGTATCGACAATAAACTTCGGTTTGATTACAAATACCTAATTAAATGTCGGTGTGTACGATTTTTACGTATCCTCAATAAAATGTCGAGAAAGTGATGCTTTTCTAACCCGCATAATTTGGTATTTTAAACCGTTTCGTAACGCTACCTGCATTCGTTCAATCACCGACTATAACTTTATGCGGAAAACTCAATAAGTGGAAGCAATATTCGGTTATAATTATGCTGAAAGTACAAAATCCTATAGATCCCACAAATACTTAATTAAATAAAGAATTTAAAGAAAAATCTAAATGAATACACCGAAAACATAGGAGAAAATACTGTTCTATTATTTAAGCTTTCCTTTTCTGATGACGGATACTACTTCTTAATTTATAATTTTAAAACACTTTCCATTTATTTTTTGACACAGAAAATTACAATAATGGCGAAGGAATGTCACCAAGTTCAATGAAATAGAAATGTGGATTTTCCTACGCGAATTCGTTACTGTTATGAGTCATACGGATCCTTTACGATCATACTTTCACAAAGAAATTTTCGTATGACGAACAATGTTATTATGTATATCCCATCGATCAAGCTGTACTTTATTATCTGTGTGGTAAGTCTATTATCTGCCTCACCCGTATTCCAGTTCAGTCTGTTTTGTAGGTAATATACAGAATGTCCGAAATATACAGGGTGTTAATTAAGTATCTACAATAAATTCAACAGACGATTATTTGATCGATTTTAAGACAAAAAGTTCATATAAACATTGGTCCGCAGATTCCTCGTTTTGAAGATACAGGGTGTTAAGCTTTTGTAAATGCTGTTTCCTAAATATCTTAAATACCCTTTACCCAATTTTGTTGTAATTTGGCAGTGTTGTTTGTAGTATTAAGGGGCTAATTTAACTGTAACTTGAATAGGTTTATTAAGTCCAGTGGCGTCCCGAGCGGTACCTTAACGAATATTTTTGACAAAAAAATGTAAGCTACTGACTTTTTTGTAATTTTTTTCGGATTAAGCAACTAAAAATACAACTTTTTTGTCTCTTTATTTTTTTTCGTACCGATTAATTTTTGGAGAAAAAAAATCCACTTAATTGCAAATCCCTGGACAAAACAAGAAACATGGGGAAAAGATAGGAAATAATCATAAAAATATTCGTTAAGGTACCGCTCGGGACGCCACTGGACTTAATAAATCTAATCGAGTTAGGGTTAAATTAACACTATAAATAACACTACCAAATTACAACAAAATTGGGTAAAGGATATTTAAGATATTTACGAAATAGCATTTTTTACAAAAATTTAACACCCTGTATCTTCAAATAATTAACACCCTGTATAATAATAATATCAAACAAATTTTAACTTAATTTTTATTTAGCACGTTTTTATACGTTTACATTATTCATTCAAATGTACAATTCACTAATGGGTTTTAAATCTGCCACGCCTTGTAAATTATAGCCACATTTTAGGCATAAGCAACATAATTACTTATCTATATATGTTGAAGATAGATCAATTGTAGTAATATTAACCTCAATTTAAAATAAATTAACACAGATATATAAAATACTTTCTATAATGGTTAGAGCAATTTCAGATGTAATTTGAATGATTCCTTTGATGCAAACAAATATTGCGCTGTTACAGAACATCAAACGGTAATATTTTTAAACAAAAACAGCTTTTAAAATGTTTCCTTTGATAAAATAAATCCATTCCACATATTACCATGCACCGAGAATTTTTAAATAAAATTTATGCGAAAATACCTTTGCCCTCCGATGTTTAAAGGTTTACCTGTTGTTTGACAAAAAATATTCGGCATGCTAGTTACCTATCGATATCGAGAATACAACAAATAACAATCATTTTTCATACGCATGCAACTTCCTACATACCAGCACGCATTAGTTAAAACCCATTAGTCACCTAGATCGTTACATTTTAAACATTTACTAAGAAATTTATAGATTTACATTCGAAACATCAGTAAAACCACTCCAATTAAGTCTATTTTTAGAACGAGACGAAAAATTTATGTCTAAAATTAGTAGCAACTAATTTGGCCTTAATTTCGCACAAGAAAACGATGTCTTACTTTCATCTGTCATTTCTTTCACCGGCAATTATGAAACGTTGAATTACTTGAATTAATCTTATATGATAAAATAATATATCTTAATTAATTTTACATAAGTAACTTGTTTTCTTTTCAACAGTATGTAATTTTGGTATAAAAATAGAAAGAATTTCCTCGTTACTTTCTAAGCTTTCAAATCTATTTACTGTAGAATTTAATAAAGTGATTAGAATAAGACTGTTTCACAGACGCCGCAGAGTTCTAAGTACATCAACCGAAGCGTATCTCTATCTCTGGCATTGAAGGGTCTTAAAAACTTTCTCTTTATAATGTACAAAAGTCTCACTGTTCCAGACATTATCGTTCGTGAGAAATTCATATGGGTAAAGCACCAAATACATATTGCTTAAAAATATTACACGTTTACATCGTTATTACCAATTTAAAATCAATTTATTAAGCTTATTATTAATTTTAAATTTTGCCGCTACAGCATGATGAGTAAAAACTGTATTTCATGATGTATCCAAATTTTTGAAGATATAAAGTGAATATATATTTTTTTAAATCTTCTGTGTCGTCATATATTAACTGATACTCATCGCAAGCAAATAACATATTATTGAAAATGTCATACGAACACAATCATTTTCCTTGTTTGTGATCCATTGTTACGCCCCTGGTCACAGGCCGCCGAACATTAAACCATGAAATTACTCATGGAGATGTGTATACGATTAACAAAGTAGCCCACAGACCACAGACGCTCAAAATTACTACATATAAAGGGAAAGTTAATCATTTTTTGTCGGCGTTAACAATGGGGCCCACATAAAAAAGCGGACTTAATTTTATTGTACTGGCATATCTGTTCCCAGAAGTTGTTAAACACCACATACGATATCTGTAATTAATGAAGAATTACGAAGAAATGAACTGCGGTGAGTTGTAAAAAGCTATGGCCTCTCACAAGTATTGAGTTAAAAAATGTATAAAGATCAAAAACTAGTTTAGAATTAAAGGAAACTATGCCCTTAGGGCATGAGTAATTATATTACCAAAGTTGGTGCTGGTGACGGATTTGTTTAAAGTCAATTACGTAAGCGTAAAAGCTTTCCTGGCGTTACTGAAGCAGTGGTCAGCATAGAAGCCCGAAACTCTCAAAATGTGTGCAAAGTTAATGCTTAATTAATATAGTTCATAACCTATGTCAAAAATTACAATAATCTAGATATTGAAGAGAAAATGCAATTCCATAAAAACTCTCAGAATATTCTCTATATACTTTAAACTACCGGCGACTTAAGATACGTTAGTGGCGATAGCTATTGAAAAAAATGGAAAATATCAACTTACCCAGTGCCCCACTTTCCTTAAGGAAGTAACTACTCTGATGTTTTAATAGCCATCTTCCGTGACATCCTGATAGTTTCCCGGTGCTCTTTCACTTCGACACATTCGCGGATATTTTCTTAAATCCCCGATGGTCTATGGACGATATCTGAAAAAGGGTACAAAATCACCACAAAGCAGAAGACATAACACACGCGGGCAAATCTCGAGAACCCATAATATATCCTATCTCCAATTATGAAACGTCGCGAAAGCGACATCCAAACATTATTATCTAGTCAAACTCAATCAATACCACTGCATTCAATCTGTGCTTTGAACTGGTTTTATTTAAAGGTTTCACTTTAACGGGCGACTTCAAGACAAATTGAGAACATGTTCCATTTTAATAGATTGGTAAACAATGTGAACTGAAAACTGGAAAATCGATGGGCACTATTTTTTAATAAAATTTAATAAATAATATCCCTGGCATTACTAGAACAGGTTACTGGAAAAAAAGTTCTGTTTATACATTTAATCAAGATATTATTTTAAATTTCTTCATCGGTCGAACGATTTCAGCTGAATATTAAATGATTTTTTTCACCGGCGATCTAAAATCGCATTGGCAGTTAAAGTGAAACTATTAAAACAAGCCTCAGTTAAAGTGATTTGTTAGTTTTTAGGGTAATCAAAAATGAAACCGGCTTGTAACAATGGAGAATTAATGACAGATGATTAACATTGCTCTTAAAATATTTAGTAGGCTTACGTTTCAAAAAGACGTACGCTATTCGCGTTTGCCATTCAATTATTCTTGGTTACTAGCGTGTGTTGAACAAATTAATCGCAACCAGTGGCGCACCTGCAAATAATATATTCCTCAGTTACGACCCAACAAGTAATAAAATACGCTTTAATTAATATCAAAAAAATCATGTTGAATACACATGGTTGCAAAATGTGAAATAAGTGACATCCTTTATTAATGATTAAGTATGACCCTTCAAGCCCAAAATACATAATAAATGACAAAATAAGCTGCATAGAAGTAATTTATATTGGAATTAAAATTTACTTTTATTGCTGTGAGTACTATTATTTTTTTTGTTTTGTATTGTTGGGCATCATCAAACTTATTTCTGCTTCTTTAATCTACGCCTATGTTTGGAATCATGGCACTCGTATAAGAGATCTTCCGTCTGCCTCTCTAGTGTTGTCACGGCTCAGGAACAACTAATACAGAACCACACTATAGAGAAATCTAGGCCACCTCCGTATCCGGATTCTCTGCACTATCCACCGACCTTGACACCATACTAGATCGATTTTTGATGGATTTTTATCAACTTTCTACTGTCCACGGATAGCGCAATGAAGATTAGATGTTTACAAATTCAAAGGCAAGGTCACATAGTGGGGTGGGCGGTGGTTTTAAATAAATTGGGTTTTTTAGAAGGTATTATGTAAATTCTTCCATACAGAACCAGTACCAGAGATATTATATGAACATTTGTTGTGCGTAGACAATAAGGCAAGCCTTTTCAAAGGACCGCTTTAGCTGAAAGTTAAATTCCCTTGCATTCTCGAAAATAGCCCAAATAGTTCTAGTGCTACGAAACTAATACAATTAGCATTACAGCAACGTCGAATATTGACAAGTTAACAAGGTGTTCTGTATCGTTCAGAGTACGTTACGACATAATTAGAATTTCGTGAGCTGTATTATAATCAGGACTAAGAGAATCATAAAGGAAAGTTTTGGCACAAAGCGAATGGTATGTCTATAGATGAACTTGTGTCTTTAATCTTTTCTTAAAATCGCATTCAAAGTAGATTTAAAAATATATAGGCTAATGTAATATATATTTTTACATTTTATGTAAAAATATAATTTTCATAAAAATTCATCAATTTTTTGCCCGGTTATTTCAATAATTGATTCAGAAGTGAACCAAAAACGAGCTCTGAGTAACGCCGTTATTCTTTACGATCGTCTACATACAGATCATGCTATATAGTGTGCTTGGTTTGATATTATTTTACTTTAATTGGTGCCTAATTATTAACTGGAGCAGCAAATGGTATATACTGTATAATTGTACAGCAGAGAGAGAGGGAGGACACGTAAACTGTCTGTAAAAAAAATTACAAAAAGTAGGTAACGCGGGACTTAACTTTCGGTTGAATTTTAATTTTATTCGAGTAGTACCTATTAATTACATTAAGAATTTATTATTAGACTCCGTTATGATCCAGATATACCGGGTGGGCTATTTTGATGATCCATATCGGAAACTATAAGAGATAGAAAAATGGTTAAACGCAGAAAGTTTTAGACCAATTTAATGATGCTCGCGATTCCCACCTTTTACAGATTTCAAAAGTTCTTGTAAATAAAAAAGTTCTGTAGCAGATTTTAGAAAATACATCTACTTTTTTCGAAATATTTCGAAAGCTGAAATAAAAGCACTGGCTCTTGTAATTGTTGGGTTTTGGTTTTGGTACTCTTTTAAATCGTGATATGATATAGCAGGTGGTTTAAGAATATTTCCGACACATCCGGTGGGGTTGTGGTACCGTTAGTACCCGTAATACCGTTACGTACAGCTGTAGGTATTCTTTTTCCTTTCATTATAATTTACATAAAAGGAAGGATATAAAGTCTTGACCTACTTACTTTTTGTACCCTTCTGATACAAATAACAATATATATCAAAATTCTCATTTCTGTCTCTTAGTACGTATTCTAGAAATCATCAATAAACATTTGTAAATATATTTATGTTTTACTTTATTTGCCTTTAACTGTTCTTTAACTCAGAAATATCGGCACTTTCTTTAAACTTCGGCGGCACATTAATCCACTAATTTGCAAATTACTCGCTCTATTAATTATACATTTCTACTTAATAAATATTAATATACGTAATATTAACTGTATGATTTATAGTTGGTATAAAGACTGAGTACTTTACCAACTTGTATCAGAAACTACTTTTTAATGGTCCTTATTGTTTACTTCAGCAATATCAAATCATAATTAAAGAATGTAAAGCACAAACAAAAGAACATACAGACATTTAAATAACAATTTAAAGATAAAAACGAAGAACTATATTTATCGTCCTAACATTGTAAGATTTCTTATCTTGCTGAAAGCATTCACATGAATGTAATCTATATGTAGTAAAACGTCACGACAATTCAAACCGTTTTTATTAGCTCGTCTCACAAAACGATGTTCCTTTTAATTGCAGCTGCACATAATTGCAATTGCAACAAAGTTTCCTTATCTGGCAGTTATAATTAAATTTATTCACTGCCACAGGATTTAACAACCTCAAAAATATGTAATTTTCAAAATATAATGACTTTTAAGTACTATCACATACCCAGTTATTATTTATTATTAATTCTTTGTAAATATTTGTCAATCTGTAGATACAAAATTTTTTATTAAATAAATTTTTAATTAAAAGCAAACAACAAACGGATTACTAGAAGAATTTAGATTAATACGTTTGATATATATTTTTATGCTGATTATTCTCAATTAGTAAAAATAGATTGCGTCGTTCTTTTAATTTAATAAAAGCAAAATTATGTGAAGAAAGTAGCAAATGCGTAAATAAAACTACCAGTGCCAAGTAATAAAGAAATAATAAAAACACTGTAAAGCAAAACATAAAATATAGGATTTTTCCTTTTTATTAAAAAATAATTTTATTAACTAAAAACATTTACAACATATACGAGTATACCTATTATTACATATATGTTGATAAACAAAAACCCTTGCTCTTAGAGAATCGCGTTTCCTTTAAATAATTCCGCTCAGTTGCGTCCTAAATGTTACTAACACCCATTTATGAATAATTATATAACATATGTATGCGTTATGGATAATACTATTATAGTAGGTATTATAAATAAGTAGGTACTAATTATTAAGTAAATAAATCGATTCCATAGAAGATATATTTACACATTTGTTTGTCTGAATGACCAATTTAGTGATCATCGCTACAAGTGTTCCGTTAACCTACTAATACGCAACAGATGTATATACAATATAACTAAATATGAATTGAGCAGTGGTTGTAATTCTTTTTTGTTCTATTTTAATTAGGACCGGCACATCAAAATGTTCTTCTATATACTTCTATGCTTTCATTATATTATAAATAAACTAGTACATTTATAGATTATACCCTAGATTAGTTTTCATTCAAATTCAATTTTGATAGCTCTTGAAAATATTTATGAAGAGATTTGTTACTGCTTTGTCTAAATGACCGTATTTGGTGTTTTCAAAGGTATATTAATTTAGAGACACGATACACAAAATCATAATAAGTAGTAAAGCATGAATTTATAAATTCGTCTGTCATTTTGAGAAAATATTAATGTTTTACCTTGAAAGTAATAGAAAATAGAAAATACCTATGAACTCAAGTTTATACGAGATTTCTGCGTGACCTGTCACTGACAGAGGTTGCACGGGTATTTGTTTTATTCATTTACTCAGTATAAAAGCCATTTCGTATAATGAATTACAAATTCTGAGTAGTAAAAATACGAACAGGTAGATGTATTGTATTACTGATGGCTTAGGTTATTTTATAGCTACTTTTTATGTATTACTACACTGTGCACACTAACAGTTTATTTTTATCTCAACAATCAATATTCTATATTCACATGCATTTTCTTATTACTGTCCTTCACGCTTTACAGAATACCATCTGTTAATTTTCCAAACAAATATTCCTTAAAAAAATATACCTACAAACTGAGTTTAGAAGACTAATAAAATGAAATGAAAACTGATTCCAAGATTTGGATTGAAAGTAAAATTCTATAATTTTTTTTATATTTCTTAAATAAAACAGTTCCATACATTTTAAAATATAACTCAGTAACATTAAGCCAGCTAACTTGTGAAATGACTGAAATGTATAAGTGGTTACCTGTTTACATTTTATTACGCCCATTATAAACACAAAAAATATTTCCATTAATTATAAATTAATTAACAGTCACCGACTTTTCATTGTGTTCACCGTTACAATTCTTTTTTTAATTTTAACATGTAAGTAGAATAACTGAATACCCATATATAATCTGTAACTTAAAACTTTTTGAAAATTAACAGATTTACATTTTTTAAATATTAGACAGCTTTATGAAAACAATTTGCAACCAGTATTACAACTACCAGTATAACTGGTTGCCTACTTTGATATTTATATAACCCATATTAAAAAATTTAAATAATAGTTCCAGTCACAAACAAATCTATAGTTGGCAGAAACTGTATTGATATAATAATAGTACACACGTAAAACGATAAAAATAAACCAACATCTATACTAACAGGAATTACATCTTTGTAGGTAGTAACGAAATCTCCATGTACGGCTTGCAAAATAAATACGTATAAAACTTTACGGAAAATTTTAAATAATAAATTATCCTAGTCTGCTAGAAACAATAAATAATAGTTCTAGGTATCTCAAAATAACACCGATTCAATTAAACCCTCCTCTAGAGCTGGTTTAATTTTAATTTAACGTACTTCCGTATGCACTAAGCTGCTAGGCTCTGAACGCGTGTCTATGATTGATCAGCCAATCCACTTTTATTAACGTTATGTTGCTATGCAGATTTATCAACAATAATAAACGCATTTTAAACGCATTGTTAGAAAAGTTAACATGTGGAAAAACGAAAACGCAACTGAGATTTCATTCACAAAGACGTTTAGAAGAGGCATATAAGTTAGTTAAAACTAAGTGTCAATGTAAGAGTATTGAAGATAATTGATTAACCACAAAAAAATAATATTTTGTATTTTTTAGCAAAAAAACTACCCAAAGACGTCAACCCCAAAGCTGTATTCGCCTGTAATGAATTGGATTTGAAAGAGGTTAAAGTGTATGGTTTTGATTATGACTACACATTGGCTTGCTATAAACCTTCTCTGGATTACTTACTTTATAACTTAGGTAGACAAACTCTTATAGAACAATATAAAGTAAGGAAATTTGTTTATATAATTACGTCTACTACATTCCATAATTTTAGTATCCTGAAGAAATTACTAAATTAGAGTACCAACCAGGATTTGCAGTCAGGGGGCTACACTATGACATTGAAAAAGGTGTTCTATTGAAATTGGATTCTTTTCTGCAAATCCAGTTTGGATCTGTTTATAAAGGATTAAGTCCGCTCTCCAATGACGAAGTTCTTAAATTGTACAAAAATAGAATTATTCCTATCGCATATGTAGAAAGCCATACAAAGAATGCCGCGGTAATGTTAATTTTTATAATCTTTGTAATTAATTCTTCACAGTTTATATAATTCAAAACTTAACCTATAATTTTAAACATATGACTCCCTAATAAGCATGTTATGTAATAAGTTAAAAATATGAAGATACATACCCACTAAAATCATTTGGGTTGTTCGCAACATTTTCGTTCTATGTACTCGATAATTTTTTAAGAGATGAATTTTGACAAATTTACCTTCAAGTTAATGTTACATATTCATATGATTTTAGGGGGTACTTCTTAAACTTTCTTTAAAACTGAGAAATACTAAAAATATTTACCTTTCTTCATCTTGAGCTACTTTCTAACTTTTTTCGAGTGGGTTTGTTACTAATATCTTCTTATCGTCACTGCATCTTTTAATTTTCTCCATTCTCACCGTTTATAGTTAATATTACAGGAATCACATTCAAAGATGGTGCAACTGGCTGACTTATTCTCCGTACCTGAAATGGGACTAATTTGTAATGTCGCTGATTATTTTGAGAGAAATCATATCGACTACCACCCGGAAATTTTATTTAGAGACATAAAGGTACTTTTTAAAATGTTGTTGATATTTTTCGTACTAAGTATACCATTTTAAGAGTTCAATTCGAAATTCTCATCCTGTTATGCACAAAATTGTGGCCCAAAACCTTTCCGAGTACATAGAGAGCAACGATAAACTTCGACCATTCTTTGACAGGCTATTAAAAGCAAACAAAAAGTTATTTTTGGTTACAAATAGTCCTTATGGTTTTGTGTAAGTATTTCTCTAAAAATATATTGTCAGTTTATTACTTAATATGTTTTTAGAAATAAGGGAATGGAATTTATGGTAGGTCCTGATTGGAAAGATTATTTCGATGTATTGATTGTTCAAGCTCGTAAGCCACGATTTTTCACTGATGTCTCCCGGCCAATTCGTGTATTTGACGAACAAAGTGGAACTCATATATGGGACAGAGTTACAAAGTTGGAAAAAGGTGTTATTTACTATGAAGCAAGTGTTATGCATATGTATACATATAAAAAATATATTTTTACATTATTTTTAGGGGACGGTGAAGCAGTTGCAAGAGTTAACGGGATGGCGTGGTCATCAAGTGCTATATTTCGGAGATCATCCTTATAGTGATTTAGCAGATGTTACTTTAGAGCACGGATGGAGAACTGGAGCCATAATAACCGAACTAACGGTATTAAAAAATTGCTTACATTTATTTTTGTTTATCATAATTTTTTTTAGCATGAAATTGCAACTTTGAACAACCCGGAATTTAAAAAGAATGCTAATTGGCTGCAAATGCTGACTCAGTTAATTGAAGATCATCAAGATTGTGAAGATCCAGATGAACAAAAAATTTTATCAAAATGGATGGCAGAACGTGACAGATTAAGGTATTAAGGTATTAATGATGACGTTTTTGAAATTACTTAATTTTGTTCTAGGAATGATATTAAATACGTTTTCAACAAGCAGTTTGGGAGTGTATTTCGGACATATCACAACCCCACATATTTTTCAAGACGTTTGTTTAGGTTTGCAGACATCTATACATCTAATATAACAAATTTATTACATTATTCAGTTAACCATACATTTTATCCGAGAAGGGGTGTAATGCCGCACGAATATATATCGTACTTTGTTTAACAAAGAATAGTTTGTAGGCTAACTTAAATTAATTTTTGATAAAGCTCAATTTTCACAATGCAATTTCATCACAGCTACTGAATTATGCATATAAAATGACACAAGTTTAAATGTACTTTGCAACTAATAGCTTCAATTTAACTACTAATAACTAGAAAGTCTTAATGTTTGCTCTTATTAAGTTATATCAAATTTTTAGATTTTTTTTTTAACTGTGATTAAAGATGACTATTTTGAAATTTGAATATTAGTTCCTTGTGATTTTATTCATAACAGTGCGGTGTAACATATAAACTAAGGTATTGTAGTATCATGTACTTTAGTGGTTCTAAGGTATTAATTGTATCGTGAAAATTGATCTTGAGATTAGCTGTCATGTGCAAGAAAATAATATATTTTACTAAACGATATGTATGTTCAGTCGGACGTATTAAATTTTCTTGTAACTGATAGGATAGATTTAGATGTATTAGCACTGAAATAAGCTTATTTATCCTTAAATATTGTTTGTTTAAGGTTTAATTATACGTCACTGCTGAGATTTTTAAGTCTGATATATGCGATAATATAAATTTTCATAGAATTTTGTTAATAATTATACATTATGTCGTCCTTTTGGATAAGAAAAAAATTATTAGACACAATTTTGCGAAGTAGAATCATAATCTATTCACAGCCATTGTAATATACACATTTATTTATATAATTTAGTTTTTATTCAGTTTAGGTAATAGTATTTAAATAAACAGATTTTTTGCTCAAGCAAGTGCCTAATTTTAAGGCTGTGCTGAAAAGACATATAATTTGACATATTGTAGCGTATACACATGTATGTGTGAATGTTTGACTTTTTTCAAAAAATCTATTTATTATATAGAAATATTTATGATTTCCAAAATTATGTACACTCAACCAACCTATTTTCAAATTATTGAATGTGTGTTGATATTAATATTAATTGTAAACAGGTAATTTTTTAATTAAGAAATATATCTTGGAAATTAGTCGAATTTATTGTACGAGTATCATTTTTGTATGTAATTAAACATTTTTTGAAATCTTGTCGATATTTTTACATTATATTTATTAATTTGCATAATTAGTGTACTTTATACATGTACAAAGGATTGTGATAAATAAAAAAAATTGTTGATTAATTGTGTAATCATTTCGAATAAATAAAATAAAAAATTTACTTGGTTTCTATTTTAACATAACGAAAAATCCTTTGAAACAGATATGATATTATAAATAGAATAGTTATTTAACAAAGTGAGATGCTTAACATTTTAAGGACAATTATTTACAATAATTTGTAGAAATTCATCTATAAATTATGTGTATTTACAAAATCCTAAATTATACACATCAAGCAAATGTATTTCAAAAAATACATACGTACTATAAAATATAACTGTGTTATAGAAGTATACATAAATATTTTTATAAAATTATTATGTATACCTATGAAAAAAAAGTTATGATTAAAAAATTTATCACAAATTATTTGTAAGTAATTCACTCATTCTGTCTTATTTAAAATAAAATAGAAATTTTGTTTTCTATATTTTAGCTACGATTTCTAAACGAAAATATGAAACGGTTGTTGCCGAGTCAAACCGAAAATGGAAAGAAGGGTGAATATGTTGTATTTATATTAGGTATTTTCTTTCCTTAATATTTCTTTCGTGGCTGCTTTTATATCCGTGATAAAACAGAATTAACTAGTAGTCCGGAGTTCTCGGCTAAGGAAATTTTGCGAAATATCTAGCGGTAGTCGAGTAAAAATAAAAGTTTGTCACTGCGTTGCATTAGGCTAGAAAATAGAACGTTCGCCACGCTTATTTTAAGAATTTTATGAGATCAGTGAACATTTAAACAAATTACGTCATTCGGTATCAATGACCGAAATTGTAATTTTAATTATAAAGCGCAAAGACCCCATGAACATGTAGGTCGTTTGTTTATGTTTTTTTAGGGGAAATGAAAATTAGGTTGAGAGGTTGGCAATAAAATAAACAATGGCGTTTACAGTATAGTAATGGTTCTGCGAGCAAATTTTATTTTTGTTATGGTTTTCTGGACTTCCTCATTCATTCCAGCCATGATGGGGAGCAACGCAGACAATAAATTTGTATCAAAATGACGTTTTACATATCAACAAATTAGTGTATATAAGGTTCTTTGAACAATGTCAAAAAATGGCTTCTAATTCATACAGGTATTCAATCAATATTTAATCGACACACCCCATATTAAATAAAATATTGTTTCAGGGTGGAATGGGTGGAAATAATAGAGCCCAAGACTCAGGAGCATATGTATGCCAATTTGGCTACAGGAGAATGTGTATGGGATCCTCCAGAAGGTGTACCTGTCAAACGTACAGATTCTAACCAGTGGTGGGAACTCTTCGATCAAAATACAGCACGGTTCTACTACTACAATGCTACATCACAAAGAACGGTTTGGCATAAACCAACAAACTGCGATATCATCCCTTTAGCTAAACTCCAAACCTTAAAACATAATACGGACTGCAGCCCTGCCGCTACAAGTCACCAGTCAACACAAACTGGACATCATGCAGAGCGAAGCCAAGTGCTTAGTCTGTCTGCGAGTACTCCTCAGCTACGTCGTAAACCTAGTGATTTGTGCAGAAGCAGCAGTTTTAGTCAGCGTGGTGCCGAAGCCCCATTGTACTCAAATTGGCATGACTCCCATTTGCTGCCTCTGGAACATTTCTTGCTTAACAACAGTCGGGATTCTGATAGTGATCACTCAGACAGTGGTAGTGAGTCTCTTACTGGACATGAGCCCGACAATGAAGATTCCGATCAGTCTGAAGGCAGCTATTTACCACACCGCCTCTCACACAGACCTGTAGAATATCTAAATCTCCCTACAGCAGCTAGTACAGAACCTAGAGACAGAGAAAGGGAGACCAAAGAGCGTCCTCCAGTACCTCTATTGAAACCGTTGGCAGAACCTCCATTACAACCTGAACGGGAAGCTGATATGGAAAAATTTGCTGCAGACAATCTAAATCTAGGCGGTAGAGGGCTATTTAGGCGTAAAGCTAGTGTTCGTGATTTACTTAGTTGGTCATCTCGTAGTCTACAAAGACCTTTGCTAGCATCTAGCAAACCAGTGGCGAGGCAAGCTTTAGAAATGTTTAGACAAGTACAAATGTATATGGGTGACAGGAAGGCTAGACCAGGTGTATCACTAAATTCTTTGTTAATGGAAATTTTAGGCACAGCTCATGTACAGGCTTTGCTTAGAGATGAACTTTATGTGCAGTTGTGTAGACAGACAACTGAGAACCCTAGGCGTGAGTCTCTGCTTAGAGGTTGGGAATTACTCACAATTGCTTTAGCGTTTGTTCCTCCTAGTCCAGTATTTCAACCGGCGCTATTAGGGTATCTCAATCGTCACAGAGATCCTACTTTTTCGAGAGTTTTTCCAGATGTTAACCGGTGGCCAATTCATGTTCAAGTAAGTGTGTTTATTTATGTGTAATATGTAACTGATACATATAAATGATTTATACATTTTTTAATATCACTTTTTTAAAGTTCGCAGATCGATCCTTTATATTCGAGTTTAATTATTTGAAATGTATTTTGCTTTTATTATAAATTATTTTTTTATCTGTATGGTGATAATTTGTACATTAAATGATAACATTAAAATATTGAAATAATTTTCCATCGAATGTTCTGCATTATATGTTTTTGTGTTCTTGCCAGTATTTTAGAATTATATAATGCAATATTGCTACATTTCCTTTCATTTATTTTATAGTCGTTTGAAAATTTTTTACCGTAGTGAAATCAGATTAAAGAAATTATATATTTATTATTTGAAAGTGATCTAAACAAAAAAAAATTAGAAATTTGTCATTTCTCAGATTATTTTTATCAGATTGCTTAATTCCTTTATTGGAAAATGTATGTGAGAAGTACAAACAAGTGTTTTGTAAATACGGTGTTTTCAATATAACACTTAAATCACAAACAAAAATTTAAGCATGTTGAGATTGTAAAATGCAAGTCTGTACCCTTAACCTAAATTTGACTATACTTCTTTGAATGTTCTGGTCTATACAAAATAGTTATTTTTTTGTTGATATAACTTATTTGTGCTGATAACTAATTTTAAATTACGAAACCAAATTTCCAGGTAAACCACTATGCGACAGTAGCTTGCCAACGTCTAGAACGTATAGGCGCAGGTGGTAAACGCACCGCCCGTCGCCCACAAATGGATGACATAGAATCTGCAAGAAAACAAATATTCCAAGCTAGTCTCTTTGGTAACACTCTACGTGAAGTTATGCAACTTCAAGCCAGTCGTTGGCCTAACAGAAGGCTACCCTGGCCACAAATAGAGTTGTCGCAACAGGTATTGAAACTGCAAGGCTTAACGACTGAGGGTATTTTCCGCGTCTCGGCAGATGTAGACGAAGTGAATCGATTGAAGGCGCAAATGGACCGATGGGAAATTAGTGAACCCAGTGATGCTCATGTACCTGCAAATCTACTTAAACTTTGGTTGCGGGAACTGTATGAACCCCTCATCCCCGACTCTCTTTACCCTGAATGTGTGGCAGAACCCATGACTCCAAGACGTGCATGTGATTTAGTACTACGTTTACCCACTCTACATAGACTTGTGTTATGCTATTTAATCCGATTTTTACAGACCTTTAACAAACCTGAAGTTATACAACATACTAAAATGGACGCTTCCAATTTAGCTATGGTTTTTGCGCCTAACTGCTTACGTTGCATGGCTAGTGATCCTCGTACTATGTTTGATAATGCACGTAAGGAGATGGCCTTTATGCGATGCCTCATACAAGAATTAGATACTGAATGTGTTCGAGACATGATCTGACCTCAACTTTCGAATGTATATAACATATTTATACAAACATACATTTATTGTAACATTTTTTATTACAAATCATAGATATTTCTTTGTGACTTTGTTTTTATTATTACCTTTACATTACAAATTGTGATTTAAATTATAGAATAAATTGTTTTCTTATGAATATCAATTTGTTTTTTTAAATTCATACACCATTACTAAAAAATTACTGAAATAATAACATAATGAAAACAAAAATAAATACAGAGGAGCAATTTAAAATTAATGTTAAACATAGGTTTTTTTTAAATTTCTTGTTATTTTATTAAAGAAAAATTACCAGATATGAATTTAAATCAAATTTTTATTTGCAATTTTGTGTCATTAATAATTCCTAATATTCAAAAATAATAGACAACAATAATGAAAATATATCTTATATCTAACTGCCTATGCATCCTGATATAACTTCTGTGTCAATGCAACTTAAATCTGGCATGTTGCATGTTACCTGCAAAATACATGTTTATCCACATATAATTTGATATGCATGATTCCGAATTAATTAATCGACATGGTGATTCTATAGCTGTTAGATTTACCAAAAATTTCCTCAAAGCTTAGATAGGATTTGAGGGGTAAATTACCCCACCCATGTTTAGAATGTTCAGAGAATTAAAATTTTCTGTTTGCCTCATGCTTATATGTAGATGTCCTCAATAAAATCTCCAAATCCTGCCTTAATTTTATATATCATAGCAGCAGCTGCCACTGCTGCTAAAAATTGGAGTGGCCGTATTTTTCTAAAGAAGCATGGAACTTATACAGTTTTTTAGGGGATTATTTCTAAGCAAATAGAAACGACTTTCGCAATGAAACAGTTTCACTAGAAGTTTGCAAAATTATCATTAAAATAGAAGCAGCCCCATGGGATTTCGAAAAGGGTTGCACAAATATGTGCAAAATTTTTTTTTATAATGAACTGACACACAAGTAGTTGTTTTTTCTATTTTTCACCAAATCAAATTTTCTTCATAGTTACACCTATTTAAATTTTAATTTGATAGCAACATTTTTCGAAAAATAGACACACACCTAATTATATTTACGTTGATTACAAAAAAAAATATTTTGCATACCTATATACCTGCATCCCTTTTCAAGATCCTAACGAGGAATTTTTTCGTTACAAAAGTTCTCTTAGTGGGTCTGAAATAATCACCTAAAAACAATTTGGGTCCCATGCTTATATGTATATAAAAATATGAGCACTTCGGTTTTCACCAGCTGCCCCTGTATATGTATATCTTTAATTTGTTCATTTATGTGGATCAATTTTTTTTTTTTATAAATTAGTTGTAATTTTACTGCTATACCAAATTTATTTTTTAACTACAAAATAATAATTTTGTACATGGAACATTTTAAAATGTTAATAAGATAGATATTACGTTATCAGAAATAAATTATAACATCCAAAGTGTTCATTTGTGAATATTTAAAAATATTATGAAAATATATGTGGCTACCATGAAATTGTTATTAATAAAGAATCAGCAATTAAGAATACAATAATAAATTATTATTTGATTGTGGTTATAATTATTTTCCTTATAAATCCCTTACGATATATAAAATTGGGACTACGAATTAGATATTACAGGAAAAAATGAAAAGACTACGTGTAATAATACTAGTAATCAAATATATATTCTACTACTGTTGACTTTGTGGCATATGGTATTTATAATATTAGGTTTATTTTTATAAAAGAAGTTTTCTCTTAATATCAAACTAGCCGCGTTATAAGCTTCGCATAGTTACTACATACAATACGTTCAGAAATTGGAAGATCTATTTAAAAATGTTTTATTTACACGAGATCTCAGCTATTCTAAATGCTGATTGGTCAAATTAGTGGTATTATTTTCTTTAGCGACCTTGGGATTAACTGAGATCTTGTTTAACACGTATTTAACATACACATTGTCTATTTTTACAATAACTCAAATTTTGTTTCACACTTGAATAACTCGTGATTAATCAATTGTTAATTTCCTTGTTATTTATTATTCAATGTCTTTGAAATCGGGCATATGAATTTTGTTGATTTCTGAACGTACTGACTGAACATTTGCGCTTGTGTTTTAGGTTATGACATTTGTTGTGATATCGTCATAGTAACATGTCAACATCAACAAAAATTTGAGATAAGATTTTAAAATTAGCAATTTCGTCCAACATCAAAATGTTTATTTACTTAAGTAAAAAGGTAACAACAAAATTAGAAGCTAGAGCAATTCTAGGTAAATAAAATACATGTAAAATATTTTGCAGATTGCCATTCCCAACAACACAAAAATAAATGCGATCGCTTGGAATAAACAGGATGGTTATATAGCTGTTGGTGGAGAAAATGGGTTATTAAAAGTCTTAAAATTGGATTCAGGTTAAAAAAATACTACATTCTGTTATATGTTAATATTATAAAAATTTTAGTCAGTGACAATGAAGGAGGTAATAAAAATCGTGGTTTGGCAGCAACAAGTAATTTGTCAATGAACCAAACTTTAGAGGGGCACAGTGAAAGTATACAAGTTTTAATTTGGAATGAATCTCATAAAAAACTAACAACTAGTGATCAACATGGCGTAATAATTGTTTGGATGCTGTACAAGGTACAAATGTGACTTTTTCTATGGTTTTTTATTTAATAAATTTAATTTAAGGGAGCATGGTACGAGGAAATGATAAATAATCGTAAGAAGTCAACAGTTGTGGGCATGGCTTGGAGTGCCGATGGACAGAAAATTTGTATAATTTATGAAGACGGGGCAGTGATTGTAGGGTGTGTTGGTGGAAATAGAATCTGGGGCAAAGAACTAAAACACGTACAATTATCTGGAGTTCAGTGGTCTCCAGATGGAAAACTTCTTTTATTTAGTTTAAAAAATGGACAAGTCCATTTATACGACAATCAAGGAAATTTTGTGGTAAGCGACTATTAATGTGTTCTTTCTTAAAGGCATATTTCTTTGTAGTGCTCCTTAAAAAGTCACTATTACATATTAAAGTGAATCTCGTAACATAAAAAATATACATTTCAAATCCATTGCTTTTCACAATGCCCACTGAAAAATATGTAATTAAAATTGTTTTTCAGATGCGTGTAAATGTTGTTTGTCATGATACCAATTATGAACAAATACCAATTGTAGGCCTTGACTGGTACAATGGCATAAATGGCTATATGCATGCCCTTTGTCCAAACTTAGCCATAACTTTTGAAAATGGTAGAACACAAGTTATGAGAAACGAAAGTGATACAAGTAAATTTTTTTAAGAAATAGAAACTTTCGCCTCACAATTGTCTTATTTTTAGACCCAATTATAATAGACACCAGAATGTTTGCTGTTCATTGCAGCTGGAACCACAACGGGTCGCTTTTGGCAATCTCTGGAAAACAATTTGCTGAGGAAAAAGAAATTAATTTAGTTCAGTTCTATAACCCATTTGGAGAGGTAATATTTGCAGTATATATCTTTTTAATGCAAACTAACATCTTTATAGCATTTACGTACACTGAAAGTGCCTGGAAATTCGATTTCATGTTGTGTTTGGGAAGGAGGTTCATTAAGAGTAGCATTAGCTGTCGACTCATTTGTATATTTTGCAAATATTCGTCCTGACTATAAATGGTGCTACTTTAAGAAAACAGTCGTGTTTACTTCTTGTAGACCACACAAACCCGGAATATGTTTATCATTTTGGGACACATCAAATAATCAAGTAAGTAAACTTAATCTTTTTATTTGAAATACAATGATGTTTTTTTTTAGTGTCACACTAGGTGGGTGTCAGTACTCCTGGCAATAGCAGGATATGGCGATCATTGCATTGTTGCTACTAGATCAGAATCAGATGAAAGTTTAGGAAAATATGGACTCCTGCTTTATAATACTTTGGGCACACCAGTGGACGGTAAAAAAATTAAGTTTCTGTTAACAGTAAAAAAATTTGTTACCGTATTTGATCTTTATTCTTTAAAGATATTTTTATTTCTTACAGGAAAATACATCAACATTGAACCTTTAGTGGTTACCATGAATTCATATCAAGTTTTTGCGGCATCTAAAAATAATTTTTTGGTGTGGCACTACAAGACACCGAAGTCTATAACAGGTAATGACTATATACTATAATGTTGTATGTTAACTACTTTATATTGTTTATAGCTGGGTCAGCTAGATGTAAAATGTTTCATATAGATGACAATCCGTCAGGAGCCGTTGAAATTATACAGGAACTAGATAATGTTAATAAAATACAAGTTAGTATGCATGACACGATAGATGCAATATGCTGTATTACAGCAACAGATAAATGCTTGATTATTGGGAGAGAATCTGGATTAATACAATACTACGCTTTACCGCACATTGTTTTAACGAATCGATATAAAATTAGCACTCGACCACACAAAATGTCCATTAACTGCAACTCTACGTATGTAATAACATTTTGAAAAGCAAAATATCTATGTAAAGTTTTTAGGCGACTTTCTGTAATTGACGTGTCTGGAGTTATGTCAGTAATCGATATATCAGAAGGAGTAGGTAGACCAACGACAAGCACGGAAGGGAACAAATTAGAACGTAAAGATGTTTGGGCAATGTGTTGGGCTTCGGATAATCCGCAATTATTAGCAATAATGGAGAAAACAAGGATGTACATTTTTAAGGGCATCTATCCTGAAGAACCCGTCGCTTGTTCAGGATATATTTGTAGTTTTAATGTAAGACTAATTTCAAATTAATTTTAATATTTTTATATTTCATTTATTTAATCTTCAATTTCAAATTGTTACTAGGATTTGGAGATACAAGCAGTATTGTTAGATGAAGTAATGGACACTCCGGAAAAACCAAGTAGTGACCACATTATTAAGTTAGAAGTAAAAAGTTTACGGGATACAAGACAATTACTTGAAAAAGTCGGGATAAATGAAGCTTGTCAGTTTGTTGAAGATAATCGTCATCCACGGTTATGGTAAATGTTGGACTAATGTTGATTAAAAAATTTACTTAATATATTTTGCAGGAGACTTGTCGCAGAAGCTGCTTTAAAGGAAATGAACTTGACAATGGCTGATGCTTGTTTTGTTAGATCAAAAGATTACTCGAAGGTTTTATTTGTGAAAAAACTTGGAGATATCAATAATGAAGCGATAAGAAGAGCTAGGATTGCTACGTATTTTAAAAATTTTGACGAGGCCGAGAAAATATATATGGAAGCAGATAGAAGGTGAAATAATTCTTAAGAAACTGGGATAACTAAACTAAATTTTTTTGTTTCTAGTGACTTGGCATTAAATCTACGACAAACATTAGGCGACTGGTTCAGAGTTATACAAATTTTAAAAAATGGCGTTACTGCACCAGACTATCTTTTAAAAACAGCATATAATTCAACGGCCGATTACTTTGCACACTTTAATAATTGGTAATGTTTTTAAAAATAGACTAATGATAGTAAATTTGAGTAAAATTTTGTATTTAGGGCATCGGCTATCGAGTATTACGAATTAGGCAGAAATACAACAAAAATGATTGAATGCTACTACCATCTAGAAGACTGGAAAAATTTAGAAGGTATGATTGACAAATTACCAGAAGGTGATCCACTTTTAGAAAAAATTGGTGATATGTTCGCAGCAAATGCTGTTCATAATGAAGCTGTTAAAGCTTACGTTAAGCTGGGCAAAGTAAAGTCAGCTATTAACTTATGCATAATGCATAATCGATGGGATGTCGCAATAGATTTGGCAAAGAAATTTAACATTTCGAAGATATCGGATTTACTTATGAAGTATACTAATCATTTAGTCGAACAAGGGCAAGTTATGAATGCTATACAAATGAATGTTCAAGCTAGATATTATTTGCATGCAGCTGAACATGCCTATAAAGTAAGTTAAGAACATTTTTAGTTATTAAGTTTCACTAGCTCAACTTATTTTAGCTTGCCGAATGTGAGGCTCGAAAAAGCGATAAGAACCTTTTGAAGGTAAAAAAATTTTATGTTTACGCGGCTAGACTGGTAGAACTTCATAAAAAGTCACCTAACTCTAGTAAGTATGAATAAAACATTTCAATGCAACTGTAATTATAATGAACCTAATTATCTGTTAGGTGAATGGCAATCTTCAGATCCCCTATTCTATGAAACAGCTTGGAAAGGAGCAGAAGCTTATCATTATTATATGTTGGCGCAACGACAACTTTACAGTGGAAAATTACACGATGCATTGTGTATCGCTTATAAGCTTCAAGATTACACCGATTTTATACCCGAGTCAGATGTCTACGCATTACTGACACTTACAGCTTGCCTCGATAGATCATTCGGAATCTGTTCCAAAGCTTTAATGAAATTAAAAAGTCTAAAAAACGTATGAAAACATTTTCTGTGCCTATGAATAACGTAGGTATTCAAGTAACACTTTTTTTTAGTTGTCAGCCACGGAGTACAATCATTACAACAAATTGGCTTGGGATATATTTAGGCAGAATGAACCGGTCAATGTCAAGAAAAAGCTTTTAAAGTGCGACAATTGTGACAATGTTATACAAGATTGGCAAGTATTCTTTCAAATTATACCAGATTACGCAAAAGTGATATTACTTAAAACGTGGTCTATGCTTAAAACATAATTTGTTAACCTAATTTTTGAATAAAATTTCTTATACTAACACTTACTTGTAGAAACGACAGAAGTTACTTCACATACATGTGCCGTGTTTTTTCTAATTAAAGGCTTTAATAACATTATCACTGATTTTAAAACTCACACTTGAACATCACTTTAATTACGGCAAAATTACAAACAAGCATTCTTGATTGAAAAATCATATTTTTAAGAGAAATGTTAAATGACTGATATAAATGAAATAACTCTGTCTACAAACACAAAAAAAAGGTGCAAAAACATCATCAGTTTATGCATTTTTAAAAGATAAGAAATTCAACATAAAATGAGGTAGTTTCTTTAGTACTGCATAAAAAAAGATCTTTATAAAAGCTTTCATAAAAAACTATTATACTTTAAATGCTGCCAAGACTTAAATATAAATATTCACACCAAAATAATACCATTATATTATTCTTTAGGTGTACTATTTGTGGACACTGTAAAGTTCATTTTCCAACTTGCATCGCTTCTGGCCAGTCGATTGTAGGGGCACCAATTTGGTTCTGCCAGTCATGTCGACATCCAGCTGTCGAAAGAAAGATGTCATTCCAAAATGCATGCCCGCTGTGTCATGCAAAAAATGAACGTCAGTAAACAGTTAAATGTATTATACAATTTCGTTCTTAAAAATAATTATTTATATGCAATGAGTTTTTCTGTTAGTTAAATAAAGTTTGTTAAATATGTAGTTTGTTTTTATTTTATTACTAAAATGGGTAGTTAAAAATCAATAATTATGTGTTACGTTTGGTTTTACATAGCTGCAAATTCTATTCGCTTTAGAAAAATTTATCAGAGTATATTAAAGTTATACAGGGTGTCAGAAATAAGCACCAAAATTTTAACTGTGTTTAATTCATCAGAAGCAACTTTTGTTGTAGGTGCCCAATCGATTAAAGAAATATCTAAGTAACATATGAGAATGTTTTGTGGAATGACTGGCTATCTTAATTTATTTCCTCGCATAAATACAAACGCTAATTAGTTCTCATCCTTGTGCTTCTTTTTTTTAAATTAACTCAACTAAGCATTTCAACTTATGCTCCAGTGAAGGGTAACAGAAATTTTAACTCATACAAAATTATGTATATGTAAAACCAAGAGGTTTACGATAACAATTATTAAACAAAAATTGTTGCTTTTGACGCACGTTTAAAATTTTGCCACATATTTCTGGGTCATGCTGTATTAACAAATACACAAAATGTTCTATACTTTAAAGACAAGTTTTTAAATTGCATTTTTTATTAGAATTAAATTCAGATGTAAAAAAGTGATACAGATCTTGTAGTGAGCAAATTGTGGCTTCATATTTAATTAATTTAACCAAATAAAAAATAGTCATAATTTTTTTATTATTATTATACACAGATAAAATGGGAATTAAAATACCTAATGGCAAAAGTATATCACATACCTACTAAAGAGTAAGATATATCAGCTACATACATTACATAAACAACTGAGATATATAAAGTGTTATGAGTAACTTATCATTCCAACTATTAGATAAACCACTCCTGGGTAGATACTTAGACACAGATAATTTAAACAATTTTATAAACCTTTATTTATTAAAACAATACAACTGTGCCATGTTAACATTTTGAAAATTGATCCTGATAATGTACTGCACATTCAAGTAAAAATAAACACCATACAACTTTACACATAACCACTATGGATGGAAAATTCTATTAAAAAGAATGCAATGAACAAAGGACAGTTGTCAGACTTCATATTCACAGTCTGGGGGATGCAGATGCTCTTTTTTCTTTTAAGAAAATGGAATCGATACTTTTAAACACGTCAGCAATAGGCTTTGACGCATCAATGCGGTAATGAATACCCCTTATTTGATAATAGTCAACTAAAGGCTTAGTCTGGGTATGATATGCATTTAAACGTTTTTTCAAAGCGTCCACGTTATCGTCAGACCGTTTGATTAAAGGTTCCCCAGTTATATCGTCAGTCATTGTTTTTTTTGGTGGAGCAAATTCCTCATGATAAGATCTACCACTAGCTGGATGGATTAAGCGGCCAGTTATACGTCTAACAAGCAAATTATCATCTATACCAAATTCTACCACTGCATCTAGTTGAGTATTGCGCTTTTCCAATAGATCATCTAACTAAAAACGAATGACAGTCAAACAAAAGCTATATAACTGCATAGGTGTTAAACTACACAGTTAAATTATTAATTAACAAAAATAGTTACCTTTTCTGCTTGCACGACTGTTCTCGGAAAACCATCGAGTAGAAATCCATTTTTACATTCTTGCTTATCCAGGTTCTTGTCGATCATATTAACAACTAAATCATCACTTACCAGTTTTCCTTCATCCATAATTTTTTTTAATTTACTGCCTAGGATTGATCCTGATTGAATTTCAGCACGAAGCATGTCACCAGTTGACAGGTGACAAACACAATACTTTTCTTTCAACTTGGGAGCCTACAACAAAAAATTTTGATTTAGTCCATAGGTCAAATTTCATTTAAATGTACACCACTTACCATAGTACCCTTTCCTGATCCAGGTGGTCCCAATAGAACAGCTTTAATACCATCAGGTTGATCGGCACCCTCAGGGACGGGAGCAACTTTTTGGGCAGCTAGAGGAGCCATTCTTCAATTCTAACCAAACACTCAGCCGCTATAGTTTAAAGATAAGGTGGTTGGTTTGATGTTATACAATATATGAATAGATACTTAAAAATGACCTTCACTCACCTCTTGATAAAATTACAGGCAACGCAACTAAATAAATGTAAATGAACAACACAGTTAACCTCAAAAACTATCAGCCACTTCGTTCCCCCTTTAACCGACAATCGCAATCTGCAGCTTTCTGTTACTGTTGTTCACTGTCAAAGACAGGGAAGGGAAGTGACATAAAGCCGAAATTAAATAGTCCGAAAATTACATGGTGACTTTGGAATAAGTTTAATGATCACAAGGACATGAATTTATTTTATTACAAACCTACCTATTTAGATATATTGTTATTGTACTATATAGTTATTAATATATCATTTTATTAATTAAAAAATACACTACATTTCTGCTTCTATAGAGCATGAAGATTTTTATGTATATACAGTATGGCTCCTCAAATTACTACTTAAAAATAATTTAAAAAATCGTATCCGAATTTTTATTATTGATAAACAAAATAATACGATATCTGTATCTGAAATAGAGGCAATTATTGGTTTCTTGATGGTCGTCTCTTTTTATTCCAAGTATTCAATAAATTTAATTTCAAACGTTCCTTAACCCTTATAACTGTCTTTGTTTCCGTTTGCCACCACCACTGGCCTTCTCATAACTTAGAATGTTGGTCAGGGTCGGCCTATCCCATTTTACATATTTTTATATTTTAATTGATACAGAAATACCGAGTTAAAGCTAAATCGTTTTTGAAACACACAATCTCTAATATTTCAACCCCCAAATGTGATGTTTATTATTAAAACGCAGCTAAACGTTTTGACCTACCTACTTATTAATACAGAACTATAATCAACTTCGACTATAGATTGAATATACGTATATTTTTTAATTAAAATCAAGTATGATGAATTAACAAGAATAACTCGTATGTACACTTTCATAATTAATTTGTCTTTGTACCAAATTTAAATCAACTACTCTCTTCCTGTGACGATAAGGTAACCAAATTGAGTTGATTTTACACTGAATTTTACTTGGAAATAGTAAAACAAATATTGTCCTCGTGTCTCAGTTTCGTAAAGCCGGACCTGTAAAACATTTTACACCGCGTCCGGTGGGGTTCAAAATATTTTTAATACCCATTCCATTGCCTATAAGTCGAACCAACGAGCTTTAAGCTGGTGCTGGCTGTGTAGCGAGTAGAAAGAAGCAACAAGTAGCGTCTGTTGAGTGTCTTTTCTCGATGGTAACGTGAGAAGTGATACTATAAAGTAAATTTATTACAGAAAAGGATCAGTAAATAAAATGGATTTTAAGGTGTTATTCATTCTAGTAATATGTGAGTATTTTTTTAAATTTGGATTAATTTCTAATGGTATCTAATGGACACTGCAGGTAAAAAAACTTTCATTATTTTTTATTTAAGACCTTTCCTTGCCGGAATGCAGTTTACAGCAGTATAGGGCCGGAAGAAACTATAAATCCAATGCAGGTGAGTATAATGTTAATTAACATATACCTACTTAAGTTTTACACTTGAATAATATAAGTATATAAAAAAGATAGGTATAAGTACATAGTGTAGAAACAGTAATTAAAAATAATTTATTCTCATACATAATTCGTTTCTCAAGTTATAAATACAAATGCAATAGCGTGTAATTTTGTATACAAATGAGACTTTCTCATTAAAAAAATCTACTCTAAATCACATTACTCAAATTTTTGAGAATAGAAACATTTAAAAACCCTTATGGGAGTGGAGATCAATGATTTTAAATATAATTTTTTTCTGAAATATTGTCATAAGAAAACTAAAGGGAGATGAATTTGGAAGATATTCTAATACTGATAGTTATAATCAGTAATTCAATAGGAAATACCTGCTTTATCAAATTATCAGAATAAGAATATTTTTAAACCATTTGAAGGATATGCGGTTTTTATTTTATAACTTTGTTCTAAGTTATAGCTAATACAAATAGTTAGTCACTTTTTGTAATAAAACATACATTGTACCTATACCAAGTTGTTAAAAATAGAAATGAGTGTTAAAAAGTGTTAATAATTATATTTCCCCATTCATAAACACTTAGAAGGATTAGTAAATTACAGTAAATAAATTATACACACTATACGCACTATCTGATATTGTTATCAAGTTCCCTTGTATCTAGATTTAAAATGAAAATTTTTAAGAGTTATGAACAAAAATTAGTTACTTGTTAAATTCCTTTAAATTTCAACATGACTAAGAATATGTTCTGATTATTATTACATATTATCATAAAACGAAGGCCCGCCCGATTTGAAGAATGTAGATAATAATATATTTAAGTCATAGTCATATTTACAGTTCATTACGATGTATAAGTATTCCTTGTCTTATCAATAAGAATATCGAACCATGGAGTAACTCTACACCGGAAATTGATTAACTTGTGATCATCGAGCTGAAGATAGTGACTAATCCACTATTCGGATTTTTTATTAACAGCTGCACCTGAGAAAAATTTTTGTTTTGTCAAATGATGTATATTTGTCTGTTTTTATCTATCTTCCGACCATTTTACCACTTTAGAGTTTATAAGATGATTACTAGTTTGAAAATAAGTTTGACCTTAATGCTTTGAATAGTTCTTATTTCTAATAGCCAAGGTTTCTAGATAAGAGTAGGGGGAAAAGATATGTGTTCAACATATACCTTTTTAAACAAATCACATTAGACTTGCTTTTCAAAGAAACGCGTTATCTATAAAATTGTTCTAATTAATTGTAAATTCACAACAAATAACTTCCCTATAAAAAATGAATGAAACGTTCATGGATTTTAAATAGCGTTAATATCCACACAGTGGCAGATCCACGGGTGACTATGAGATCTCGAAAATAAAGAAAAAATGCTTTAATTTTATAATCAATTCTTAAATGCTGCATTGTGTTTATTATTTCCTTTTTATTTATAATATATATAATTATTTAATACAGAAACATGAAACTCATTAGACTGAAATATTTAATTTTTTTACTTTATCCAACAACCATTATGCAAATCATTTTTTATTACAGATTTGCCTCAACGGCGAGAACCAAGCAACTGGAAAACGATTCTAATAATCGTCCTCAGCGTGCTTTTTGTTGGTGCCATAATTTACGGTACTAGTTGTTTCTACGTTTGCAAAATGCACTTTTTTGAAAGAACGGAGAAAAAGTATACAAAAATGGATTCTATTGTTCATGTTTGAAAAATGCCTAGCTTCCGCTCAATATATTACGTGTTCTCAAATTGTGATAAATAGTTTTTAAAATGCTTGCATGGACGTAAATATGAATAGAGTGCATTACATATTTTCTCATACAGTGGCGTAGCGCTAGAATATCAAGAAATAAGCAAAGCTTTCTTCTTAAAATGATATTACTGTTGCGCTACTGTCCACGCCGCAATGGGTTCCTTATGACTGATTTGAACCAAAAATGTTAACATGTTTTATTCCACAAAATTTATAATTGAAAGATTCTGTTGACAGAATTTGTGAAGGTACAATACTGTTGTTAATTTAATTATTTTAATAAAATATAATTGAATTGTCCCTTTAAAAAAATTACTTGCTGTGCCACTGCTATGCATACTTGTTATAGTATTTCTTGCAACATGACTGAATATGAAACGAGAATATTTTAATTTAATATGATCTGCAACATTTTAAAGATAAATAATTTTTATACACATAAAACATATTTTAGTACTATAAAGACTTACTTAAGTAGACATAAGTTTTAGAAAAGTGTTTTTATTAGAATTATATATGAAATATTTTGTATATATTAAAAATTATATAATTGAATGGTAGTAATATATGTATTTTTATTACTTACCTGATGTTTCCCCAAATTGTTAATTTTTATTGATCATGGTGCTTGCTCAGATAGTGAAACGTATACACGTTTCTTTTTGTTATAAATATTATAAGCTAATATTAGGACTGGAAGGTAAGGTAAATTTTTTTAGGAGATGGCGAGGTGTCGGAGTTATGTACTTTTATTCAGTCCCATATTAACACATTCATCACAAATTTTCTAAACTAATACTATATTAAATAATAGTATGCTACAATAAAGATAAATTTGTAAATATCATAGTATTTTTTATAATTTGAATAGAACAAAAAATATAAATATATTACAATGAGCCATAAAAGGTGAGTGAAGTTTATAATAATATTAATAAAGTACTTTTTCGAAATTTTTGTTTCCTCTATTACTAGAACATTACATTGATCTAAGATCTACTTAAATTCTAGCTAATATAACTTTCAAAGGTATATAATATATAAGTATGTATAAATATTCACAGTCATTTTCTTTGGCAATATGTTCATAAAGCCCTACAAATGATGATGATAATCTAACTTTTATTTTAAACAATGCATCCCAAAAGGTAAACTAAGCTAAGGGATTTTTTTGTTGGTTTCAGATAAACCAGTTTTAGTCAACAATATAAACAAACATAAACTTAATAGTAGATATAACAACAAAATAATACTGTCAAGTACGTTTACGTTCACAAAATGTAGGCTAGAAAATATTGCACTTTATTCTATGAAGAATTTCAAGCTCAGGGCCATGTTTATAAAAATGTAAGCAATTCTTGAATATTATTCAGCGATATAACCTAAGTACTCAATATAGATCAACGCGCTTAATTTTTCTCCAAATAAAACTTGTTTCTTACTTCAGTCGCCATTACAAAAATATACCGTTTTATTTGTTCATTTGAAGATGAACAGCTTCTTGCAAATTTTATTATTTTCTCAGGTTACCTCATACATATTAACCTTTTTAGTTTAATGCCAGAATTTCCCTATATGGCGTATCCAATAGTCAAGCGCAATCGCAGTTCATTCGAAACAATGAACTTTTAGCCTTATGTAAGCATTATATCGGAATGCGCATGCGTCTTACTGTTGGCTACTGTTTTGAATTGCTCTACGAACGAAGTCAAAATCAAATCAATCAAAATGTCAAAAAATCAAATGTCAAATTGCGATTTCTTCAAAGCACCGTAAATTTAATCATTTCTGTTAATTTAGGTTAATATTTACTAATTGGCAATCGAACTATCATCATTATCGAAATATTTCGAAATTTCTATGTGGGGCCCATAATTCAATTTGCCCAAGGCCAGTGGCGGCTGATGAAAATTAAAGTGGTCATATTTTGATAATAAAGCGTGGGGTATATACTCTTTTAGAATATGATTTTTAGGCACATAATGAAAAACTTTAGGAAGAAATTTGAGAAATAAAAAATTAAATTATTGGTGGCTGACATTGTGATCTCGAAAAGGGATTCACATATATTTGCTAGACTTTTCTTTTGGTAATCAACTGATAGATATAAACAGCAATTTTTTTTTATTCTTCTTCAAATTTTCATTGCAAATTTAATGGGGACAACTACAAAGAAAACTTTAATTTGTTAGAAATGAAAAAAAAACGTCTGTCAGTTGATGAAAAAAAATGTTTTACAAATAAATATTTTATATTTCGCAAAACCCGTTCGACATATTTCGTCATTAAAGTTCTCTATGTGAGCATAGAAAAATTCCCTAAAAACGATATAAGGTCCACGTTTCATTAGCAAAATATGACCTCTTTAATTTTTACGAGCCGCCACTGCCCAGGACATTATGTCGGTATAACCAGCCACTGTCCCCAGTACTAATAAAAAAAAACTAATATATTTTCAATACCTATATCTAAAAGCTGCCGATTTTGAAATAATATTACGAAAAAAATGTATAAAAATTGTTTTTTCATGTCTCAGGTACTTTTTTCGACTACAAATAAATATTGCCGGTACTTATTTAAATTGCGTTTTATAAACGTGGTCCTAGGTACTTTTTAACACAATAAAAAACATTTCTGTATGTGGAAGTACTCACTATACATCATATCATATATGAGTCACTAAAAAAATAATTAACAAACGTAGAAAAATTAACATAATACATTTTTTATTTCTACTCATGGAAGCCAGTGGTAACTCTTACACAAAAATATTTACAGTGTTACATACATGATCATTTTTGTGTCTATTTCCGAAAAAATGTGTCCCTTTCAAACCTTTCACCCTTTCAGTCTATACCTAAAGGGTAATAAAAAACACAATCGAAGAGGTGGATGTTTCTGTGTTACCAGCAATCATCAGCAAAATTCGGATTTAGAACAAGACAGACTGGCGTTATTTCTTCCTGCTAGGATTATGGCGTTATCTATTTCAGTCTGATGCTATAGGGCACATTTTTTGGTGTTATCATTTGCAAAATGGATATTTGTTATTGTTTAATGTCGCCAAGTGAGGTAGTTTTACATATTAAAACCCCTATATACAGTTTTATGGTTATTAAAAAAATAGCATATTTCCAATTCTTGAAGTCATCACCCTTTAAACATACACGTGACTTCAGAAGGTCTATTTACAACCATCATTTAAAAGTGGAGGACCAATTAAATTTTATAATTTTGGGCGATGGTCATTAATAATTTTGAAAAAAAGGAAGCCCCAAAGCAAGAAAAAAAACAGGTTAGTATTTATAGAATAACTAACACACTATTATAGGTAAAATAGAATAACAGTAAATATCACCAGCTACTCTTTGAGGAACAATGGAATTTCTTTTAAACGCATGCATTTTAGAGAGCAGGGAAAATGATGTTTTTGTGTAAGAGATTGTAAACTTGGTTAACAATTGATCATTCTTTAAAATGTTAAAACCTGAAACATCTCGCAAGTCAGATAACAGTAAAACCTTATCACAAAAGTTGTGCAATAACAGGTTGCAGTAAGCACATGTGTTCCGCCCCCCTGATTGGCAGACGGTTGATGGAGAAATGTTTTATCATCTCCGGTATCGAATTGAAAGGTTTGCTGAATTGGCCCAGGATAAAGCAACCATCCCCTGAATTTTTTTGTATCCGCATATGCATGAAACCCCTTGCGCTCCTAAAATATAAAGAAAAAATGTACTCACCTTATAAAATAACTCTAATTGGGCTGAGAACGGACCCCTGAGTCAAGCCACACTTTACCAAATACTTACTTTAAGGAAAGGGAATAATCGTGTTTAATAGATTCGCTGTTCCTTACTAAAAAACTGCCCTCCCTTAACACCCTCAAGACGTTTTCTGCTTCCATTCTACTAATTGATCCGTGGAACCACCTGAAAGGAAATTAACTTCAATCGATTTCAGTACGTCAGGCGGCTTACGCCTTACCCTTGTTTTTCCAATGGCAAGTTTACATCTATTGTTTCGGTACTACCAGTAATTTCGCCGATTGTTGGGTTTAGATTTAAGCCTAGCGTTAGCGATAATCCCAAAGTCGGATGCTGTTGTCTCATGCTTATTTCTCCCAGGTTCAGGGTTAATTTTGGTCTGCACATTGCTGAAAAATAAGAAGAGATCGTTACTTGTTGCTGAACATAACAGCAACATGATAATGTATACCGTCGATTACAATCCTTCTCAAAGTGTGAACAACTATTTTAATAATTTTTAGCTTTAGCTGGTATTAAAATATTCGAAAAATTTCCTGGATGCACTAACGATAGTCATTAAATGCCGTGTGTTGTAATTGCTGTTAAAGCCTGAAATATAGAAGTAATGCCAGGAATACGGAATAAAGTATTAACTACAAATTTTATCATGTTCTCTTTCGACCTCCTTTCGCTTTGCCGATTCCGAAGTATGTTGAGTTGAATTCCTAATTAATCCAGATCTTTCAAAGAGAAAATCGATTGGAAATTATAATACACGCCAGAACTGCTAAACGTGTTCAATCTTATTTGACATTTCCAGCTGAACGAGCTGATAACTTTGTAACATTTATCTCGACACAGCCAGACTGCTGGAATAGGTGATAGATTACTCTTTATATAAAAAAATCTTATGTAAGGGACAGCGAAATCTATGTACCGGGACATGCTCCAAATAAATTGATTGATATGGGGTATAAATAGCGCTGATTTCTTTGACGCAAACTGCTCAACAAGTGAAGTATTTTTACCGAAATTTGAACATTGAAACCGACTGGTATGATCGGAAAGCAAATTAATGTTAAATATATTGTCTATTTTATCTACACCATTTAATTTTATTAGTTCTTCCCGGGAAATATTGATAAATCTAAGCTACATTTCTTGCTGGAAGGCGCATGTTTGTTCGCGTTGTAAAATAAATGATATCCACTAAAGAATACGAGCCTCAGAGAATCCCTTTGGGTCATACGAGGCCAAAACTACATAAATCAACTTACCCTGTCTGTCGGTCTCCAGAACGCTTTGACTGGATGACGCCTGGGAAGCACTGGCCTCCAAGTTAGATGGCTGTAGTCTCATTCTCCTTCTCAACTTAGGCATATCGAATGGGAGATCCCTCAGGTCCACTGAAGTGGCGCTACCTGAAGTACAGGCGACTTCAGGTAGCATCCTTCTACGTCTCAACTTGGGCATATCGAAGGGTAAATCGGAAAAATCTTGTTGGCTAGGGGGAGCAGAGAGTTCCGCATTTGTGAAACCGAACCTAGACTTGATGCCTTCTCTACTTTGGATCGAAATGCCGCTGTCGGAACCTTGAATCTCAGGGTTGGCCGTGTGGAACCCCAAATTCAGTAAATTTTTATTCTGGGGGAGGCGACGTTTGGTCTTGATGGTTTCGGGGGTGGCGACTACTTCTTCAGGTGAACATTTTTGCGAATTGTTGTTTCTGTTGTTGTCCGACGTTTCGGATATCGGTTCCTGAGAGGATTTGTCGGATATCGGGCTCAGTATATGGAGCTTGTTAGCGTGTTGTGCTAAAAAACCAGCAGAGGTTTGAGGGACGGGGTAATTGTTTGGATTACCTGAAAAGTTGGGGTCTATATTTAAAAATTCTCGCTCCAAGAAATTTTTTGTGTCTGGGTAAATGTTTGATGTACCAAATAAGCGGTATTCCTTAAAAAAAAACTCCAAAATGACAAAAATCTGCAATTACAGGTCATCTAGTTGCAAAAGCTCTTGTCTAGCCGCACCTACAAACTCGCAGTGTACTGAGTACTACGTACCTGCCGAAAATCATTTGTGTATTGCTTTGCGGGCGTAATAATTTACGGAAAAGTATTATTGACGGTAAAAAGGGAAACAATTCTAAAGTGTATTAGTCTGTTATTATTTTGTATTAAAATAAACTTATTACAGAATCTCAAACAATGCAATTCTCGTCTACACCAATCTCGTGTTGAGAATTGTTATTCTGTTAAAATCCAAACGTTCAAGTATCATCCATTAATAATTGCAAAAATAGCAACAAATATATTTTAATTTTATATTTTCAATTCGGTTACGTTCGGCAGAATGGAACATTTAAACAAGATTTTACGTTTAGTGGCAAAACGTGCTAAAATAAACTTGATCTTTTGAAATAAGGGTATTAATGGTATCACGTCGCCTTTAGTCTACGGTGTTATTCTAAACGTGATTCAAATTTACGTGGCGGCAGATAAATACAGTCGATAAAACAGGGAAAGTACTCGGTAAAAGCAAAATAATAATGAATAGTTTATATGAAGAGCTTAGCGAAGATGGAACTGGCGATATTTTAAATTGGAAATCTTGAATTCCATTTATTTTACCGGGCTTTCGAAAACGTCGCTTTTATTGGGACATATTTTCTATATAGGTACATAAAACAAAGATACCAAGTTTAACTCTTGAGAGAGCTACAAAGATTGTTCATGCTAAATAAAACTTACTAAATTAGAATTTTAAGCGACTTTAACACAGTTCGTCATTAATAGCAAGGCTCCGACAGATCTTTCGAAATATACAGGGTGTCCCACCACGAACTCGTCGATGGATATCTGGGAAACCCCCGAAAATGTGCGAAACAAATGGAGACGCCATTTTAGAAAAAGGGAAATGTTTATTCGTAAATAAAATGAAAACGACTGGGCGAGGGAAAGTTTAACAAAGTTACACTCAATTTTAGTGCAGAATGCAAATACGTTAAAAATATTGGGAGTTTCCATTTAAAAATTTCGAGTTTTCCACATTTTCTGAAATTCAAATCCGATTTTTTTTTTTGGTCACCTGTCAAAAACTGAAATATTTTCATGTCAAATCCGATAAATTAGATCTTGCTCTACAAAATGTCCAATTCACACAAAATATAAAAGTGTGTTTCCGGGAAAACTAAACTAAACAATTTTTGCCTAAAAATCAAAATATCTCGGAAACGGTCAATCCTAAGTATGGAGTTACATGCTTTCAACTAAATATAAATGCTCTTTCCAAAAATGCAGTAATATACAGGGGGTTCCATTTAAAATAAGAAAGTTGGTGTCAACTTCCTGTATAACCGGAAGTACGATGACCTTGAAAATATTTGACTTGGTAGGCCCCACGACCCGTATCACACCACCACAATTTTAAAAAAATCCTTCCAGTGGTTTCCCAGATATCCATCGATGGATAAAAAGACATTTCTCCGCGTCAAATCTAACATAGAATTTCAATTAAATCAATTAAGTCATTCATGATTTAAGAAGTTCTAACATCCAAACTTACCATTTTTCTATTTAAAATGTATTATGTAATTATTAATAGATAAAATAGGGTTTTTCATATTTCAATGTATCGAAAAACATTTGTTTAGATAATATAAGTTATTATTATTTAATGTCATATAACATGCAAGGAATATGACTTAGACCTAATATACAGGGTGTCTTAAAAAGACCCGAACCTTGGTTTGACCTTGAAACTTAAGATCAAGCTGAAATCCAAGGTCACCGTCATACTGATTTCTTGAAACTTTTTTGGAAGATGACGGGGGTTCGGATTTTTTGGGACACACTGTGTAACTACACTGAAAGAAAATATAGCGTGCTTCTTTCACTTACCTCCAGAATCCGAACTATGCGAGCTTAGCGACGGTGAATGCCTACTTTCGGAACTCGAAGTGCTTCTGTTTCCCTCGCTGGTACTACTCTTGATGCTCTCCATGCTCCCCCCACTACTACTAGTTGTCATGCTTTCCGTACTGGAATACTTATGCCTGACCCTTCTACCTTTAAACTCCAAAAGGCTATCTTTGGACCTTTTATTTAACAGTATGTCCTTCCTCGGCCTGCTCTTAATCTCGAAAATCCTGTCTTTCTCGGGAACGACGTGGTCCTTAGAATGACCTGGCCGCCCTTTGAACTCCGATATGAGCTGATTGGAGTTGCCGAACTCGATCTCAAACGCGCTCCTCTGGTGGATTTGGATGTGCAGGCTGTCGCTGCTGGTGGTGGGCGATCGACCCCTCATCGATTTCACGGGAAGGTGGAGGTCCTTCAGTCTGGACTTTGGGTGGGAGGGCAGGTTGGGCGCGCTACGAATGCTGTTCATCATGTGTTCCTTCCCGTGGAACTTCGTGGGCAAGGGAGCCGTGGACGGTGGCGAGGGTGTGTACCCGCGAAGCGGTAGGCCGCCCGAGGAAGCTGAGTTGTTTTCTTCAGTGGCAGTCAAGTGCATGTTCTGGAATTGCAATTGACAGTTGTTTGACGCTGGGGCGATCTTATTACAGCATTGGAAAAAAAAGGTTGGCAGACCACACTTTGGAGGTAAGTTCTACAGTAAATTTAAGTGGGGGAAAATACATTTGTTAGAATTTTTTTAAGCACTACGTTTGGATTGTGAATCTCAGTGGTAATAACGTTTGACCATGACCTAGTTCCGTAAAAATAAAACCCCCATATAAAGTTACGTTAAAATAAATGAGTTATAAATTAATTTATTTATAAAGAAATAGAGTGAAAATGCCTGCGACGTGTGACACACACAATGGGTCGCCTTTTGTGTTCGAATATATCCTGAAAAATGCGCATTGTTCGACGTCTATTCTCCCGTTTTCAAATGACCCTAAGATTAAAATTAATTGTATTTAGTTGGACGAGCACGAGAGTCATTAGTATGGGCAACCACGACCATTCTATCGACCAGGGTACGCTTCATCCAGAAATTAATCTTGTAAAAAGCCAAAATGTGCAAAAGAAAATGAGATATGTACCACACAGCGTGTCACAGTGAAAAGGTGACTCGTTTCATCCGTTATAGCTGACTGAGGCGCCGTCACTGAATCAAGGCCTACGTTAAATAACGGTTCACCACCAAATGCGTTAAAGTGTTAAGTCGCGACTTGAAATTTAACAAAATCTTCTGGGTCTTTACAGATTTGTCGCAGTGAAACAGCATTTAAACATTAAATTTTGTTGCAATCAAAACTGTTACTGAATTGGTTAATGACTTGCTAAATTTTAAAATACTATCAATTTCATACTAACAGTTTTTAGTTAAATGCTATTGCTTTTATATCCCATTAATTTTTGTGGAAAATGAGTTTGACTTTAAAATGACCTGCAAAGAGTCCTGGAGAAATTCTGCGAGTACCGATTTCGACATAAAATTTGGCGATATATAAATATATCCATATTGCTTAAATTGACCTTAGTTTAACCTTGCAACTTGCGGTTAAGGTCAAATCCAAGGTCGCCACCTAATTTGTCATACAAAATCCTATAAATTTTGCTTGAATTGGGTTGTAAAATTTATCGCTTTGTCTATTGCTGCATATAAATAGTGTGTTTTATTTAATATACTCCACTTGGTTTAACCTTGAAACTTAAGCTAAAGGTCACCAGAATATTGGTGATCGAACTTTTATTTGAAACTTATTTTGATAGGAATCCTGTAAAGTTATCGGGGGGTTGGGGTCTTTTTGGGACGCCCCTGTATGATATCCCACTGAAATAAATTTTTAACAAACTAGCAAATTTTTTAAATGTGTTTAGAGGATTCAATTATCATTTGCCTTAATAGCTTTGATATGATAGAGGAAACTCTTAAGAGGTTTGCGGTCTTTTTATCAAAGTTAAAATGAAAATGCAAATTAAGGGGAAACAGTACCTGTATATCCTGCGACAACGCGAGAACCGTATTATTGTCCTCCTGGCTCGGTTTCTGGCAATTTTCTCTGGCTCTATTACGTCTATTGAGCGTGCTACTGTCTATGGAGGGTTCAGACCCAGGCTTAGTCTCCCAGGCGTTGTTAATTTGGACGAGTACAGGATGGTTCGATACTTTGTCGATCTGGTCTAAGTCGTCGTCCGACTTGCTGATGCGGCAGTCGAAGGCAGTCTCATATACATGACGTTGGCGTGTCATATCGTCTAGTCCATATTCATCATAGGCTGCAACGGTTACTGGATTTGGCGGCATTTGAGTGCCATTTGGGGCGTCTCTGCAAACAAAAAACATACAACTTATTCATCGCTCCTCGTAAAATAATCAAAGTTACGAAGGGCGACGGGAAAGTTTACCTCGAATCAGTGCTCTGTGTTTCTACACTGGAACTTTTCTTGTACTTTATCTGCGGCCTGTTCCTAATAGTCTTCTCCCTCTGGTCATTTGGGTTGTCTAGGCTGGAACTTTTTCGGAATCTCCTATTGGTCCTGGAGCGTCTATTGGTATTTTGATATTTCGATTCTGGTCGTTCCCGCTCCTGTTTTAAACTTTGATTCCTTTTGTTCTTTACAGCCGTCTTAGGAGGGGAATTTTCCGTTTTATATTTGAATAGGTCACCATAGTAATAAGGAGAGGGATGTCGCTTAGTGCCCACGTCGGTTTTGTTTGGAGAGAGGACGTTCAGTGTTGAAGGTAGAAGACCTTCGTTTATGCTGTCGGGAGAGTTTAGATCAAGGATGTTGGCATTGCCGTTGCCAGTAGAGCCGAACTCTTCGTCGGAGGTAGGGCCTGAGGATTCTTCTGAAACAAAATTGTTGATTAATTCACACTACTCTGTAACCATAACTAATGTAAATATTCGTGTTCGTTATACACCGTTTCTTTTAAGGTTGTCTTTCCCTGCGTCAATTTTTCAGCTGCGAGGAATGAAATAACACGGAATCACTTAGACGTGGGGACAGAAGACTCCTAAATATAATTGGGCCATTACTCCAGAGAGTTTAATATAGTGGAGAGAGTGAAAGTATGAAAGCCCTCGGAGCAGAACGTGAAGACAGAGCGCATTATGCAAATGAAATCATGGAAGTAATCACGCAATTAGTATAAGTTCCTTATTAAGTGTAAAGTGAAGAACGGCAAATGATACTAATTTTGAGGACCGCCGTTTTTCAAAGGTCTACACCTAAAGTTTTTAAATTAATGAGAAAATAAATCGCGGTAACGCTGACTTTTTTATTTTAATTAAAAGGCGTGCTTTAAAAGCTTTAATAAATTTAAGAAGATGTCATCATATTTAACGTGTTCTGATTGAAGTTATAATACAACCGGGGGTTGCTCCCCGCGACCAGCACTACACATTTGTCGCTATCGAGGGGTAAAAACCACTTGCTACCCACTCCGAAACAAGCGATAAATCTTAGCACTCCTAAAATTGTCAAAACTTCTAATGAAGCGTTTACATACATCACTCGGTATTACCTTCCTTTACGACCGTCGTGAGATAAAAATGTCATGGAAATACCCCCGCATCACTCATAATTAGAAGCCGTTCATCCGCTCATTACATCATCGTATCGGCTCTGTCTGAATGTAATAATTTATTTGGCTGACCACGCTTACACGCGCCATGTGTGTAATATTGCGCACATTGCACTCCCCCCATTATCATTAAGGGCTAATTAAATTTCACTTCGAAATGCATCGCCACGCGAGGGAGTTGTGTACAGGGCGGTACACCACCCCCTGTCCACATGGCGTCTTGCCAACGAAATAAATGTTTAATGTTTAATTAAAAAAAGCTTCCAAGGAAAATTTCACTGATAAAAACTGCAGAAATTATCTAGTATGGCGTCAAAATAACCAACCATCTAGTGTATTACTTTACAAAGTGTTAAAAATGTTATTCCTAGCCCAACGGACCGGATTGTTTTCGCTGTAAATTCAAAAACAAGTGGAATCTCTTAATTAAAAGCGAATTATCCGATTAGCTCCAGCCCGATTAAATCTAAAAGTATGTTTCTTCAAATATGTACAAACGAAATAATGCTAGGGTGCATAATCATCACAAAGGAAAAAAGTTTTCTAGTCTCGCAGGCAATATTCTGCTCCCGTAGCTACGCTGGGGGTGAAATTGAAGGGTTTTAAACGTAATTAAAAGTAAGGGGCGAAAATAACAATTTAACGTTGTGGTCAGGATCTGAATCATCCACCCCCTCCAACTTATGTTTTATCATTAAAATTATCCAACCGAAAAGATGGAGCGGTGGAAATGTTAAGTTTCAGAGACCGACTGTTTGTTGCCAACAAACTTTTATTTTAGCCGCCATCCCGAATTGTTCTCATTTGGGAATTGGATATACAGAAAGTTTTTTTTATTATGTAAATAACCTAATTATATAGAAGATTATAAAGTAGGCGAGTCTGACAGAATGAACGATGTTTTACAATTCCTATCTTAGAAATTTTTTAACGCATGTTTCCAATTCCAAACGTAAAATGGGTCATAGGAATTCTCTTAAGGGTTGGGCGCGATACCTTTCGGCATTCGAAGGGTAATAGAAAAATATTCACGTAGCCAAAATACGATTCCGGATACACGGTTCACATGATAACATGAAATTCAGATTATTCCGCTGAACATCGCTGCGAAAACGGATACGCGGGCTTGGAAAGACGCACTGACGAAAAATGAATAAAATACGGGGAGACTGTTAATCCGTTATATCTGTACAAAAACATTCCCTTACGAATTTTTATTAGGGGTTTGTTGCCCTTGCGGAATTAAGGGAATATTCAGGATGTAATCCCGGTGTCTCCCTGAGAAATCCTCGATGACAGTCTCATTAAGGACTTCTTACCTTTTTATGAATTTGACAAAATGTTAAGCGCCCTGGCAAACGACCGTTTAATCAAAACTTTGGCTGATTCCGAAGATTAAAATGGCCGGAATTATGGCGCCCACAGGGCCGCATTCAGAACTGTAGAGAAAATAAATAAACTACCGAAGGCAAATAAATAATAACAATACCATGAACTTTGTATTGGACTCAAACAACAGAAGACACATTTCTTTTTATCTTATCACAATTTTTTTTTTTACCAAAATACCTCCTTACAAAAATAAAGGCAAATAGGCCAGGAAATATAGAGTTGGACGCGACTTTTTGTTTCGGCAAGCTGAATTTATCACTATGATGCTAAATTTTATGCACAATAACATATTAGTTTCCACAGTCATAAAAATGGGGGAAGATTGTTTACAGGCTGGATAATTGTATAATTTTTACGTAAATTCACGTTTTTCACTAGTCCTCGAGCGTCAAAAAATATTGATTAAATCAAAAGTTATAAACAGAAGAAGTTTATTTATGACTTTTGAATTAAACATTTATAAATTGCGTTATTATTACCAGAACGTTTTGGCATCGCATCCTCTCATTCCTTGGATTCCTCTGGAATCGGTAAGTTGAATAGTTTACAAGTTATGGCCTTATAAACAAATGAATTAATTATTAGTCTGGACAATCCCGAGCATCTTCCACATTCGCACTGATTTTTTTCATGGTAGATTTCATAATAATACATTGAAATCTATAATTTTTTTTTAATTTCAAATTTTTTTACCGTCATTTTCTTCGGACTCGCCGGCGTTCGCTTCCCCCACCCTTCCGCCGCGCCACGGCTCGCCGAAAATTAAGCGACCCACTGACTTTTGACAATATTTCTTATGCACTTAACATACTTCCACAAATAAAATATTTTTATCTGGGAAAGTACTCGGGTTGCCGGTTATGACAGTTTTTTTTTGCCGCTACCAACCTAATTTGTTTAACAATAGGCCCTCAACTTTGACAGTCTGTAACTCCGTTGTTTTTGACGATTTTTTTTTAACTTAAAGCTCTTTTCATAAGCTTCCCGAAAAACTTTCCTGGTCGCTTTGAAATAAAAAAAATAATAGATTTGGGATCATCCAGATTAACAATTAGTTAATTTGTTTATAATTCCATAACTTGTAAACTATTCAACTTAACGGAAATGAACGGAAAAAGTTATAAACGAAAAACGTGAATTTAAGTAAAAATTATACAATTAACCAGCCTGTAAACAATCTTCCCCCATTTTTATGACTGTGGAAACTAATATGTTATTGTACATAATATTTAGCATCTATAGTGATAAATTCAGCTTGCCGAAACAAAAAGTTGCGTCCAACTCTATATTTCCTGGCCTACTTACAAAAACACAGGCAAACAATTAATCGAATTCGACTAAATGTTTTTGTAAATCCATATTTTTTTTTACTGGAGCATTTTACTGAAAATGTGCTTTTTTGTAGTAAAATCAAAGCTAAATCTAAAAAGTAGATTATTTCTAATATTGGTTAGTGGCGTAACATTTTTTTTAAAGCCGACTTGTTCGCAGATATAATAACATTCATTTGGTACTTTTTTCAGAAACATTCATAAATTTATTTTTAAAACTCCGTTTTTATTATACGTTGAAAACGAGAGTCAGTACAAATTTTATGAAAAACAACAACCGTTTATTTGTTTGTTTAACTGTAATTAAAGAAATGTTGGCTTAATTAAATTTATTTCTCTTTGTCTTCATTCGCAAAACAGCCGCAATAAAATTAATTAACTCCGGACCATTTTAAACAAAAATATCTCTAATTAAAATATTTTAATTAAAATATACACATCATTAATTGATCACCGACATTAATTTTCCTATATTCCATTAATTTAGATATATAGAAATATTTTGAATGCCAATCCTCTTCCCATTGAACCTGTTTTTTTTTAATCAGTGAGATGGGAACAAAAAGGCAATGATAATTAAAGTAACTGGTACCCATTCCAATTAAGTACATGGTTTTGTACCAATCTACATAATGACTGGCAGTCAGAAACAGGATAGGTGCTTGCAAAAATGAGTTTGCAGAAAAACAGATGAAAAATACGGCGGTTTTATCCCCGGGCTGATGGATGGCTCGTGTAAATGACGCCTTGAGCTATGCTACATTCGATACAGTGTCGTCCCAATCGCTGCGAGGCTTCCATCCACGGATTTTGTCGCAGGACAAGAAATGAAACTCATTAATCGAGTACAGAGGAAGTATATGACGCATTTAACAGGTTTTTCATAGAAAATGTAAAGCGACGATTATAATTTACAAATTATAATTTATTAAAGACGATACTGATGAAATATAAAATAATACCTGTAAATATTAAAACCAGTAATATTGTAAAATAAAATGCCGTCTTATACCGATAGTCTTGAATTTTCCAATTTAGGTGACCATATTTATAAAATAAAATTGTCCGAATTTTTACTACTCTCCACAAATACCCGAGTTTTGCAAAAAAAAATAAAAAAAAGGTTTAAAAATTAAATAATTGCACTTGGTTTATGTTATTAGAAGTTTAATTTGTTTCGTCAATTATAAAGAAAAATTGTGAAAGTCAAGTTAGTAATATTTTTGTAGTTTCAATAAAAAAAGTGTTCAGTTTGTCTTTGTCGACATAAAAACATACTCGTTTAGTTCTTTTTTCAGAGTTTAAACCCTTTCGCAACGCCCCTGGACCATATTGTTTCTCCTGTTCGCATAGTCTTATGCCCACTGGCGGTGACGTAATCAGTCCATTATCCTAGGCTCTGGGATATGGCGTACGAAAACCCAGCGAATATTTTACACGTTTGATTTATTCTCTCCAGTAATCTCTTACTTGTCTGTGCAAGTCCTCTGGTTTTATTTTGTGTGACCACATATCTTGCGCAGTCAGAAACAAAGACCCGCGGGACTGCCAAGACTTTAACGGCGAGTTTAAGTGAAAAATAACGATAAATTTGGAACTCTTAAAAATAATTTTTGCCTACAAATATCTAAACGGATTTCAAATTATTGTCTAAAAGCATTTCTGCAATTAATATACAAGGTGTCCCAGAAACAAGTGACCAAGTCCTCTAAAGCAACTTTTGTCTAATAATTTCTTCGAAAACATCTTACTTTTGAAGGTGATATAATTAAAAAAATTAAATTTAAGCACAAATCGAAACATTTGGCTGATTTAATAATAAACATAAACAAGTACAAAAACGAGAATTACTTAGTGCTATTATTTTATTATTATTATTATTCATCTATCTATTGGTCTATCCATTTGTCCATCCATTGGTGTGTCTATTGGTGTATCTATGGGTATATCTATTGGTCTATCTGTCGGTCTATCTATTGGTCTATCTAATGATCTACCTATTGGTCTATTCGCCTATATATTCGTCTATCTATTGGTCTATCTATTTGTCTATCTATTGGTGTATCTATTGGTCTATATGTCGGTTTATCTATTCGTCAATATATTAGTCTGTCTGTTGGTCTATCTATTTATCTATCTATTAGTCGTCTATTGGTGTATTTATTGGTCTATCCGTGTAACTATTCGTCTATCTATTGATTTATCTATTTGTCCATCCTTTGGTGTATTTATTGGTGTATCTATTGGTATATCTATTGGTCTATTAATTAGTCTATCTATTGGTGTATCTATTGGTATATTTATTGGTCTATCTATCGGTATATCTATTGATCTATCAGCCTATCTATTCGTCTATCTATTGGTGTATCTATTGGTCTATATGTCGGTTTATCTATTCGTCAATATATTAGTCTGTCTGTTGGTCTATCTATTTATCTATCTATTAGTCTGTCTATTGGTGTATCTATTGGTCTATCCGTGTAACTATTCGTCTATCTATTGGTTTATTTATTTGTCCATCCATTGGTGTATCTTTAGGTGTATCTATTGGTATATCTATTGGTCTATCTGTCGGTCTATCTATTGGTCTGTCTATTGATCTATCTATTGGTCTATCCACCTATCTATTCGTCTATCTATTGGTCTATATATTTGTCTATCTATTGGTGTATCTATTGGTCTATATGTCGATTTATCTATTCGTCAATATATTAGTCTGTCTATTTGTCTATATATTGGTCGATGTATTGACCTATCTATTGGTCTATCCGCCTATCTATTCGTCTATCTATTGGTCTATCTATTTGTCTATCTATTGGTGTATCTATTGGTCTATATGTCGGTTTATCTATTCGTCAATATATTAGTCTGTCTGTTGGTCTATCTATTTATCTATCTATTAGTCTGTCTATTGGTGTATCTATTGGTTTATCCGTGTAACTATTCGTCTATCTATTGGTCTATATGTCGATTTATCTATTCCTCAATATATTAGTCTGTCTATTGGTCTATTTATTTGTCTATATATTGGTCGATCTATTGACCTATCTATTTGTCTAATTATTGGTGTATCTATTGGTCTATACATTGGTCTATCAATTGGTATATCTATTGGTCCACATATTCGTTTATCTATTTATTCATCTATCTAACCGCCTGTCTATTCTAGTCAGTAGTTCGAATATTATTTAAATTAGTGTAATTGATATACTTTCACGATATATAGTTTTAAACATTTATAAGTATAATTAATAATAGGAAAATTCAGAAGTGTAGTAAAAATATAATAATTCGGAACTGCGGCTATTTTGTTACCTGTACCTAAAATAATAATTTATGCGTTTCAAGAAACTTCCAGTCTCTTATAAACTTTCCATTAACGTTTAAATTTTGCTCGCAAATAGTTGCTCGCTCAGTTTAAAGCAAACGCTGAGATTTTTAAAGAGAAGCACTTTAAGAAATAATAAGTTTAAAGAGGGGGAACGTCTTCACGGCGTCGAACTAATTTAACAAATTATAGAGTATATTCCGAATTTTTCGAGAGGTTCCAATATTTGATGCAAGAGCATCTCATTTAATAATATCATAATTGTAAGGGGTGAAAATAAGAATTGGAATGGAAGCTACAGTCGCGTGATGAGGAAGGATATGATTAATACCGAATAGATTGAAACAAATAATAAATAATGCAAATCTCCCTAATCAGAAATTAAGATAATCAAGATTGGACACCTGCACTTGCCAGTTTGATATTTTGTCGATATTTCCAATCCCTTCACTGTTCCAGTCCAAATGCAATTATCTTTTCATTCATTCATCTTAAGGTTAGACTTTGTCAAAGCAAAGTCGAAGGGCTTTTATACTTTACTGGAAGAAATATAATATCTTCCTTCTGAGGGTAAATTACCCCTATTGAGGCACCCCGGGACGAAAAATCCCGCGCTCGTGCGAAATTCATTAACCGAAATGCGTCTATTTGCGCGGAGTACAAATATGTACAAAACGTGGCGAAGCAAAACAACGAAGGTAAATACGCTTAGTATAATAGCATATTTAGAGAAAATGATCAGTCCATGAAAATGCCCGACCAACCCCGACTATTTATAGTTTATGGGGTGAAATATGGCACGCAATGAAACGGAACGGGACGAGGACATTGTTTAATAGCTTTTGTTTCATAAACCGCTTGATTTTACTTTCTATTCGATTAAAAATGACGTTTAAATGCTCTAATTCAAGGATAACACTTTTTGCGTGTTTATAGTTTCGCACTTCATGTCTACTACCAAATTTAATTTATGTTTCTACTTGCATTAAATAACCAATATTGACGTACCTATCTTTACGAGCCTTTTTAAAAAATTATTACATTTAAATAAAATGAAGAAGCAAAACATATATTCTGTAAATTTAATCTACTGAAATACAAATGAAGTTTGACCGCCTTAATTTTAACAGACGATAGAATACATTAAAATAAACAAAAAAACCTTATATGACATGGGTCCTAAACTGAACCATTTCCGAGAAAAAAATTATCAAAATCTCCAACTTGATGTACAAAAGTTCGTTTAATTAAGGAATATTGACATAACTGCGTGCATAGAATACCATAAAATACGATTTTTATCACTTTTTTGAACTTCTTTATGCTTAATTCTAAAAAATAATTAGCGTTGTAATAAATTTAAAATTCTATAAAATTCATATCGAGCAATGCGACAACGGCGCAGCGGATAACACGAGGTACTAAGCTATCCAGCATTACGCAATTAAGTTGGTATCTGGAATTAGACCGTGTCGGAGTGCTTTTTGTGTACCACTATTTCCTTTTCTTGAGGTGTTTTCCAGCGAGCGCGCGAAAATTGGATTCATTCATTTTGAGCATGTTGTAGTTTGTTTTGTACTTGTGCGTTTAAAAATTACTGAACTTTCCTTTTTGGTAAGTACCTAAATTATTTTTAATACGTACGATTATTTGGACGACGTGAATCTTTGAGTACTTTAATTACATATTTTCCAAATTCATAATTTGATTAAAAGTTAAGTTCCTGTTTTAAGAGGTTCATAATTACTAAAATTCAAGCTAAAATTTAAGCACAACACTATCTTCGTACTACAAAATCGATACATTTTATTTTATTTATTTAAAAACTGGTAAACAATTGTCTTGAAATGTACTAAATGTTTCACAATAATAGTTGTTTACATTTTTGTTATTCCGTAGGACAAGTCTGCTGTGTTAGGTTAAGCGCTGTTGTCACGTTGTGATGAAACTCCCTAATACTGTTACAACTTTTTTGTTCATTTATGATTACCCTATAGTCTGTCTTATGCTGAAGTAATGGTAGTCAAACTTCTTACACCCTGTATATACATTCCCCAGTTGGTCCACGAGAATTTGCAGACAAAAGTAAATATTCTTTAACTGTGAATATTTACTTTAAATTAATCATTTTTCAAATACTTTTCTTTAATACAAATTTAACGTATTTTTTTAATTTTGTAAAAATTTCCTCATCTCTAAAAATAATGAATGTCTGTTTTTCTTTTTTGCAGATTTGACAATATTAGGCGAAAGAAAAATGTAATGTAAATGTTAAGCAGTACAATATTTGTGAAGCCAGGATGTGTTCATAAACAAAAAGTTAGGCGAATTGCACCGCATTTATTGAAAAAAAAAAACCATTTCGATTAATTTAACAGAACTGCACCAAATTTTAGCGGAGAAATTGAACTCACCTGTAGTGTAGGGTTGGGAATATTCCCTATCTGGACTAGTGAAGCATTTTGGTTCGTTCTCGTCTTGGCTTAGGTGCTGCCTCGAGTCCCTTGGGGTTGAATACGTGTCTAGAACTTCGACCTGCAACAAAAATACCCTTTTCGTTACAAAAAAAGCTAGGGTTCATAGCGTGGAAGAAAAATAAATGTACCGGACTGTGGAATGGATGTGTAAAGCGCAGCGAAAATGTAATTACCTTGGCTAGTATTTGGAAAACCGAGTAACAGTAAATCTAATATATCTGGCAACTGCAGCGTTTAGGAATTTCTATTTTTTGCGGGCTTAACGTCAACATATCACTACCCCCCTGGGAAAACTGCATTATTTTGCACAACAAACGAACAAACAATATGTTTTACACCCTGTATACTTTTAGTTACTCCCTATTTTATGAAATTGTTAAGTGAAGCACTTTGGAAATGTTTTTATTTTGAATAATGAATCAACAAAAACGAATTCAAAGCGCTGAGCAAACAACGTTTTTTACGTACGTTCTGAATATTTTAAAATAATATCGGGGCATTAATTGCTTGAATAATTTCCCGAGGGCCGTAGCCCCAGCTTTTGCTCGCAATGTTGTCTTCTAAATGTGCCTGACGCGACTCTTATTCCTGTCACCCTTTTAAAAGTCCTAAATAGTTAGCGTCAAATAAGTTCGGGCTATCCCGATCTTTTCAAGAGAGCACAAGGAAACTTGATGCGGGACGAAATCCGGGAAACACAAAAGGGTTTAATAATGTAGTTTTTGGAGTGTCATGTTCGTGACGTGAAGTTCCGTGCTCTTAGTTTGATTTTGCAACTCAATTAACCGCATTAATTACAAATGTTTGAGTCTGGTGTTCAAAATTTAATTGTTTTGTCAGTCACTCAAAAGGGGATCTTCAGGAAATTTTTTTTCTAGAATTGTTCGAAAGTTAGTCGTATTTCACTGATCCCCCAACTTCCACTTTATTTATTTATTTATTAGTAAAACTGTAATTAGCACTTTGTTGGTTAAAAATTTATACCCATCAGTTTCACCCCCTACGGCACCGTGGAGAAACACCCTCCACAACTGCACTATATTTATTGCCTAAACTTGACCAGCATAGGCAAGGGAGCCTGCTTAATTCCCTGCACTTAAATCAAATGTAAATTGTTAAAGTTCTAGCCGAATTCAACTAAAATCACGTGATCGAAATTCTTGGCAAATACTTTGCCGTTAAGCAACCCTAATTGAAATTCCCTTAAATGCGTGTCTTTCCAGTACCGGAAAGTTATTACTGCCCGATCTTCTATGAGAGAAACATTTAAAAATCATTAAATTTAAAAGAACTGCAACACACGACAAATTAAAGTAACACTTTTAAAAGTTATGAAGCTGTTTCTGTAAAACCCATAAGGTAATGGCAGTTGGCGGTGGATCTTTGTGCTACCCTAAACCCAGCTAACAAATTGTAACAAATTTAAATACGGCCCACAAAGCTACACGTCGTGATACAGCTCATAATAGGCTCGGTGTTCGCTGCGGACCAAAATTAAATTATTCCCTGTTTCTTTGATCTGTTACTTAATTAAAATCGCCATTGTGCTTTGCTCACCGTCCATTAGAAGGCTTAACCCGCTGCATGTGGTATTCGGGATATTCATTATCGGATTTTAATACAATTTCCGCATTAAATATTTTCCCACGACCGAACAAAGTGATTTTCAACGTTGGAGGGGCTGGGAAAACTTTCGCCTACCTTGTCGTCATTGGGGCTGGATAGGTTCCATTCCGAAAAATTGTTGCAGTTCGGATTTGGTACGGCTATACTATTTGGTCTCCGCTTCGCTAAATGGTCAACAGGTAAACTATAGTCGTCGCAGACGGAAATCTGAAAAGTAAAACCAAATATTAGCTCATGCAAAATATGGTAATCACCCTAATACGTTTAAGTCCTCTCCCGCCATATTCCAAACCCCTATGTAATTATCTGCGAAACTGTCTGGCACTTAAACCTAAGAATGAGTTACGTTCGCCGTCCCTGGCAATTTAGCCTCTCTAGCACGTCTGCTAAATGGAATAATATAGCGTAGGTAAGTGAATCTATATCCAAAATACATTTAAGCAAATTGTTGACTGAATAAGTACTAAATCAGATAAAAACTGTGGAAATATTCGCAATGATTTTTTATACAAAAAAATATTAAATGAGTTGTATGTACATTGTCTAGAATTACGTGTTCGAGTGTATATTTTCGTTTCACGATGTATTGTTACTTTTTACGTTGTAATATTGTTGAAAATGTCGATTACACAGGTCAACATTTAGTTCGAATAAAAACACCAGACTCTACCTATAGACCAGGGCGGATCTGTCGAAATATTCCACTTCTTGGATGTAAGAGGGGACAAGCTAATTTTTGCTGGAGTACCTTCAGTACAATTGACGGAACTCCGTAAATCCTCTTTCATCCGATCTGACATAACCTCACCTCAATCAACTGCACGTTCTGAACGTCATCGCACGAAAAAACACGTGAGCTTTGTTTATGCAGCGAATTGATAGTTTGTAAACTGTTTCTATTTGCTACGTGTTTGCTAGACTTCAAACAGTACACAAGCAAAATTTTTACTGATCTTTCGATTACCTAATTAAAAATAGGTATATTTCCAAATATCATACAAAAAGAAATATTAGCAATACATTTTTAGATCAGATTATCTATTTTTGTATTTAAAAATCTGGAGTCCTCTGTATTGATTTATAGTGAATTGAATCAATATGGGACCAAGGCGGAAAAAACAGACAGCTATTAGTGTTAAATCTATATTTATATCCGTCAATCTGAAATTTCCCCTGTATTGACATCGAAAGTTTAGTAAATTTTTTAAATTGTTATCCTACAACTCAGAAATATAGATTATTAAAACTTATGAAAATTTGTTACACTTTTGTTACGTTCTAAACAGTGTAGATCAATTGAGCAAAAATTTTACTGATCTTTCTATTCATGAAAAATAGGTATAATTTCAAATATCATATAAAACGAAATATTAGCATTAAATTTTTAGTTAAGATGAATCTCTATTTTTGTATTGATTTATAGTGAATTAAATCAACATTAGTGTTAAATCTATATTTATATCCGTCAATCCGAAATTTTCTCTATATTGCTTTCGAAAGTTTAGTAAGTACTTTGTAAATTGTCATCCTACAATTCAGAAATACAGATTATCAAAACATATGAAAATTTGTTATACTTTTGTTAGGTTCTAAACAGTGTATATTAATTGAGCAAAAATTTTACTGATCTTTCTATTCATGAAAAATAGGTATAATTTCAAATATCATATAAAAAGAAGTAAAAATTTTTAGTTAAGATGAATCTCTATTTTTGTATTTAAAAATCTGGAGTCCCCTGTTTTGATTTATAGTGAATTAAATCAATATGGGACCAAGGAGGTAGAGACAAAAAAACAGACAGCTATTAGTGTTAATAACTATATTTATATCCCTCAATGTGAAATTTTCTCAGTATTGACTTCGAAAGTTTAGTAAATATTTTTTAAATTGTTATCCTACAACTCAGATAATAAAAGTGTAGATCCCTAGATCTAGGCGAGGTCCGGAACATTTTCAAAATTGCAAATATGTTTTAAAAACTTTTTAAAAATACCTATTTTATCTCAATTGTTTACTTATATCTTGGAACCTATGCATTTTGGAAGAATATTGAAGAGGAAAAAAAGTTTTAGAATTGAATTTTGCACAATACACTGTAAGTTAAAAATTTATTACCGATGTTGAAAAATAGCAATAATTAATGAAAAAAAAAGGCAAAATAATCAACTTAGGATATTTTTTAAAAATATTTTAATTGCTCCGAGGGCATTCTAATTTTGGCAAAAAAAACTTTAAAGTATAATAAAACAACATACCAAATTTCATTAAAATCGGTTCGATAGTTTTTGCAAAATAATTTTTTGAAACAAATTTTGAAAAAAAATTTTCGAATTTTCAAAATGTTGCACAGCGTCAAATAAAGCATCTAGATGCTTCAAAATTTTTTCACATAGAAAAGACCGCAATTGAAAAATTGAAATCGGTTGATTAGGACGGCCACAATAATTTTTTAAAGTTAACACCCTGTCGACGTCAGGTTTAAGGTCATGTGAAGGTCAAACTAAGAAAAGGTGGCCTAGATAGAGTCCACACTAAATGTTGACCTGTTATTTTTGTACCCCATAAGTTAATAAAGAAATTGAATGACACCCTGTATTTTACAGAGAATTTCGCTAATGCAAACGCAGCTTTTATATGGACTCGAGACACTGCGAAGAGAAAATTAATTTCCAGTTCCGGATATTCGTTTTTTGCAATTATAAAAGCCTGCAATTATGGAAACCCCCAGGAATTTCCGTCTGCAAAGGTAAAAGCGAAGCGAGCCCCATCTTCCTCTTACATTTTTCAGGCTCGTAGGATGATAATGACCGGAACATTAACGCTCGATCACTCGAGCAGTCTCCACAAAAGAACCGACGTCGGAATTGTCAAAGCTGAAGTAGAAATAATTAAACGGCAACTCAAATACAATACGATCGGGCCCTGATAATAGATCTCATGAATAGGATATAAAGGCTAAAACGTAAGCGATTGCCTAGCGAAATGCCGGCGTTATGGCGCACAGCGACCAAAATGAATGCCATAGATCATTTCGAGTACAAAGGCAGGCCTAAGCCACAACACTGGAAAGCCACGCTTACTGCGATCCCGACCACTTATAGCCTGGGCTTCGCAAGGGCGTCCCCAAAATTCAAATCGACGGGATGTCCCTCCGAAACTACATACATATAAGAGTAAGATTATATATACAGGGAAACTGATTGAATTTGAATTCCAGAAACTGATTTTTTGTAACCTTTATTCGCAGTTTTTACATGTTTTTTCATAGTATTACATAGAAATTTAACGATGAAGACACACAAACACAACGTATCATCACTAAACAGTGAAATAAATAAGTTTGTATGGTTAATTAACGTTAGCCGTTTGTCTTTTGTCCTCCTAGCACTCTGTTGTCATGTCACATCAGGTGTATTACGTAATTTGCATAAATTAGGTCAATTCAGTGACACTGAAATTCACAAGTTAAACACAGTGCTTTAAAAAAGTCTAACAAATATTTTTTTATTAAAAACTTGAAACCCTTTAAAAATATTTCCATCCATCCATCAAAATTAGTAAAAGATTTTATTTATTGTTTATTAAAACACAAAATTAGTTTTACTTACAAACAAATACTAATATTTCAAAAACACTATTCTTTTTAATACAAAAGCAATGTTTTCAAAATTATTCTTCATTGCAGTTAGTTAAAAAAGTTCGGGGGCTGCTGCTCAGTGACGGCGTAGACAATAATTTAAGTGCAGTTTAAAAAACTGTAACGAAGTTTAACTCCACCCACTATTCGTTTGTTTTCAAAAATGATTTCAAATTATTATTACCCCTAAAATAACTGATCGCCACTAAAATATCACCCTGTAGGCACAAAATTCAACATTTGTCAAACTTGATACACTTTCCAAAATCTAATAAACGATTTTTACAATATTTCTTGTTGATAACTCTGGCATTATTATACAAAACAATAATATCTATAGTTTATTTCCACTGGGGTCTTGGAGTCAGGGACGCCACTGGCATGGCTGGGGGCAACTTTCCCTCTCCGACATAAAAACCATCCTAGCTTTTACACGACGATATTAGAAAGACCGTTAATACAAAACGGTCGTTAAATATTGTTTAATGTGCAATAAATCAAAGATATTTTCAAATTAGAAGTATGCAATACAAGCTTATTAGTATTGTGCCCTGTAGCAGTCGGAAACATTTAGTATTTTAAAGCATACGGTGCTCTTTTCGTCGCATTTATACGCATAGACAGGGTGTGAAAAAATTCAAATTTTTAAACAAAATTTTGTGTAAATGAACCATAATAAAATGCAGGGATTAAAATGAAATGTAAAAAAAAATAAATCTCCCGTTGTATTGATTTGGTGAACTACCCAGCGCTGAAGTCTTAACAATGCCAGAGCAAAATTCCTAAGTACTTTAGGAGCAGGGAAAAATAGGGATTGAATTAAATTGCTCGGAAAATATTAAACTACCTGTTTTTGAATAGAATTCATTTTAAGGCGAAGGCAAAAAATGATAAAAAATGGTCGGGCGTACAGCAAGAGAATGTCGTTTCCGGATGCCTTTAAAAGAGATTTACTGGAAAAAGAGATAAGACTGTCAGTTCTTATGCTGTATGCGACTTTGAACAAAGGCCAAACGCTCAAATTAATGATTTAAATGTCATAAATCAGATTTTAAACGTTTAAACATGCAGAAAACATACGAATATAAAAAGTAACTATAAATTTTAACTTTCCTGAATACGATTGAATGTGTGCTCAAAATATAAACGTTTAATTGCACAAACGTTAAAAACATTTAAACACGTTTATAAATGCAAATGTACTTAAACTGTAGGGACAAATTAATAATGTTAATGTCATTAATCAGATAAAACTTAGTTAGTTAGTTAGTTTAGACGTTTAAATATAGTAATACCAAAGTAATTATATAATGATAATTTTCACCTGAAGACAAGTTTATAGTGAAATTAGGTTATACCTATGTCAAAATACGATTAAAAGTATGTTAAAAATGTAAACTAAACGTTTACCTTGCAAACGTTGAAAACATTTAAACATGCAAATGTCTACAGTTGTAAATGTTTTATATGGCTATATGGCGGTTTGAACAAAGTCCAGACACCAAAATTAATGATTTTAAGGTTATAAATCAGATAAAATTTAATTTTTCTTTTTAAACGTTTAAACATC